AGAATTGGAAAAGACAAAAAAAATAACTGAAATACCTTTTATGTTTAAATGTATTGTAATACGTTTAATTTTTTGCCCGTTTTAAATGTTGTAATTTATTCATTATTAATTTACTCAATACGTTCACATTTTTAACTATTTGATTTTGTTATTTTATTCTTTTTAACCGTCAAAAACTGACCAAAAAAATTGACCTGAAATAGATTTCATGTTTAAATGTAATATGTTTACATTTATTAGCTCTTTTAAAATGTATTCTTCATTTATCCATTGTTTATTTATTAAACTGGTTCACATTTTTACATTTTATTTTATTATTTATTTTTTATTTTAACCGTCAGAAACTGGTTAAAAAAGCCTGTTTTGATGAGAGGAAACGATGACCAATCAGAAGACGCCCCGCCCTGTGAGGTGACGCAGGCGGGTATATAAGCAGATGTCCCGCCCTTTCTCTCTCCCTTTCCGCTCCGTGTGTGAGGAGGACTCGACCGTGCCTAAGGTGTTCGGTTCTTCTATCGAAGCTAAGGCCTGTTAATCCGGCGACTAGCACCGTTAAAATTAGGCATCCAAGTCCTAAACTGTAACATACTGAAAGAAAAATGGCCTCTGTCTCCGAGCTCGCTTGTATTTACTCCGCACTCATCCTCCACGACGATGAAGTGACAGTCACAGTACGTACCCCCCTCCTCTCTCTCTCCGCCGGCGCCATTTCTGTAACTTGGCTAACGCTCGCCACCACATGGTGTAGCTGGACTGTGTCCATTTACCTCGCATTACAGTTACTGTTAGTACAACTAGTCAAGCAGCCACCGGGTTCAGACGCTGTAAAGATAAATGAAACTTGCTTTGGTGTTTTGTATTCATACTTAAGCCATTGCGGCTGCTTATGGCTCAATTATGTAGCTTCTTGGTCGAATCTCCCCGTTCCACCTTAAATGGTGCCGCAGATACGTTCTCTACGTTCCATATCGACAACGCAAGTGCTGCAGTTTAAGGTGGAGCGGGAAGATTTAAACAAGAATCTGGCGAATAGGAAGCCATCCTTCTGTGTTAGCTTGCTAGCGATGCTGTTGCCCTTTACACCTAAATATATGGTTCTTTATGGGGTCTTTAGTAAAGGCACTGGTTCTGTATAGAACCATGAGCACTCAAACCTTCTGTCTATGGTGAAAATGGTTTTCAGATTAATGGAGAACGTGTGTGTGGTGTATATCTATGTATAACCTTAATGAAAATGGGTCTGTATAGCACCAAAACGTATTAAGAGGCTTGTAACAGAAGAACCATATACAACACGTTCTCCATCAATCTGAAGAGCCATTTGCCATGCAAACAGCCACTTAAGCATGAAGTGGCTCTGAGTGTTCATAGTTCTATATAAAACCTTTGACTTTATTAAAGAACCTATGAAGAACCGTCTTTAAGAGTGTAGAAAGCTGTAAGTTGTACACACAATGTAAAACTAGCTTACCAGCTGCATACAGTACTTACACTGTCCTGTAATGTTGTGTACTGGATCTCACCTGTATGTGGATGGATGGACTTGGCAGTGCAGCTAGTGGTTCATGGTAAGCTAACCTGACTGAGCTATGTGGTGTTTTTCAGGAGGACAAGCTGAACGCCCTGATCAAGGCTGCCGGAGTGACCATTGAGCCTTTCTGGCCTGGTCTGTTCGCCAAGGTAACACGTCCTTTGCTTATTAAATTTGGTTGTCCATGCTTGTCCTGCTCCGATAGCTGTAATGTTCCCTGTTGGTGGACAAGTGTTGACATTTTGACATGTGTTTGTCTGTAATGTGGACAAGCCACATTTAGGTGGCTTTATCATAGTGTTCAAGGTGTGGAGAGAAACTGGATGTTCCCTGCACTGCTCACATTGCCCTTTGCCCTTTTTGCTGAATTTTAAAGGGAACAATTCCATCTGTTTCCTAAATTTCTGCCAACTTCAGCTTTTGAAATGTAATTGAAGGAATTCAGAGTGGTTTGATGTTATTTGGTTTAACTGGGGAGAAACTTGCCAAATCAGATTTTTCAGTAGTGGTGATGGGAACCAGAGGTCACCATGTCTGCAGCCATATTTACCATCCAAAGGAGTAATCATAGTCTTCTGTTTTTTTTAATGTAATGATAAAAGCTGGGGTCAGTGCTCTGTGTGTCCACCATGGATGTCAAACTAGTTTATGGCCAAAGTTCTCATATCAACAGTAAAACTGTCTCAGGCACCAGGCAGCATATTTAATGTAATAGTTTAATAGAGGGAGCTTTTAAAGGGATCAGAATTGTTCACCACCGCTGTCAAACCACTTGTTTACATCCGATGGGCTTATGTAATTGGTCATTAGTGTAATTTCCCCTTTTACAGCCGTCAGGTGTCCAGGCATGGAGAGCTATTGATTTGAGTCCTTTTTACTGTCGGGTCACCTGATCTGGGCTCCTACTAGCTCATAAATTCCCAAGGTACTAAAGTGTAGATGATTAGGTTTGGAGATGTAGAATGGACATGATTTTCTTCCTCTCAGAAGTTTATGAATGAAACATCTAAGTCAGGTGACTTAGAAACTGGAACTGCACATGCTCAGTCTTTGACTCAGTCACCTGTGGACATTACTCCTATCGAACAGCCTAATGTTTTGAACACATGGCTTTGGAGTGGCTTGAGGGCTTGATCCTAGTTCTGTAGATGTAGTTCAGTACTAGTCCTGATTGAATGTGGTTACTAAATAAGCTAGGAAACCACTAAGCCACTTAGTGTATATAATGTTTGTTGGAAGGATGTTTCAGGTCAGTGTCATGACGAGGTGTTTCTGTTTGCAGGCTCTGGCCAGTGTGGACATCGGCAGCCTGATCTGCAACGTGGGTGCTGGTGGTGGTGCCCCCGCTCCCGTTGCTGCTGGCGGAGCCGCTCCTGCTGCTGGAGAAGCACCAGGTACCACGTTTACAAATGCATGTGCTGAATTCTGATAAGTGGAATCTGACAGTATCTATAACAGTACATTCCATGTTTCATAGTGCTGCACATTCATCTACTTGTCTGTAAAACCACATAGGGCCTTGGTAAATGTACTGATGGAGAGCATGTGTGCAAGAAGTGAATGTGGCTTGGAGTAAAGTACTGTTTGTCTAATTGATAGCATTACTATCTTAAAATGAGCTGGAACATCCAAGTGAAGAGTTTGAGATTAACACTGGCTTTCCACTCCAATAAAATGAACTTTTTTGTCTGTTTACCTTGCCTGATCTTTGTTTACGTGTTGCATTTACAGCCAAGGAGGAGGAGAAGAAAGAGGAGAAGAAGGAGGAGTCTGAGGAGTCTGATGACGACATGGGCTTCGGTCTCTTCGACTAAAGCAATTTTTCTATCAAAAATAAAAAATAGAACTGACCAAGTTGTGTTTTTTCTTCTAAGCTGTGTCCAGTGTTCATGTAAGTTTAAGCCTCCTGATTTAAGATGCAGCATTTTTCTGATTTAAAAGTAATGCTGTTGCTCAAATCTCAGTGACAATGACTGGCATAAATGATATGCAGCTACTTGTGAAGTACTCTTCCCACTATTTGGTCAACCTAAAGTAAATTGGGTCCAAATTATCTGCAATATTATCCAAAGGCTTTTACCCCTGGAAATTAGGTAAAATTCCCATTAAGGATCGGTAATGTGGCAAAAAAAAGTGATTTGTATGAGTGCGCCAATGAAAAAGTAGTACCACTCAAGTAATTTCAGAAATAACGAAGGATCAGCAGGATGAAAACATCCAACTGGTTATAATGAGTAAAATAAGATAATGGAATAACTGAATATCAATCCATCAGTTACTTGTTCCTGTGTAGATTATGCAGGATGAACTGCGTAGTGGCTCCATTTCTGTATTTGTATTTTTATGATACATGTGGTTGTTGTAAAAGTAATGACAATACTTATATACTTAATATTTTCTTAAAAGTGTTGTGTAACGTTAGCATAATGTCTACCATTTTGCAGTGATTAGTTCCTATAATGATGCTTTTGGTAAAATAGCCCCTGGACTGTAACGTTGACAAACTGCATGTTTCATTTTTATATATTCAAACATACTGTATATTACTTACAACTGAATCCTGAGGAAAGTTCTTGGAAAACCTGTTGTAGACAAATCTTCAATCACAGAACCATTTAATAAATAATAAATATATTTGCTGTATACACACGTGTGTGTATATATATATATATATATATATAGGCATGTGTACACAGCAAATATCATTTATTTTATATATATATATATATATATATATATATATAAAATATAATCATTTATTACTGCATAACTTTACAGGAGAAGGAAAAACCTATTTTACTTTTAATGTAAGTCAATGGAACCAGACTGTTTTCCCAAGTTATTTTGGACCATTTCTTTTAGTCCATTCATCATGGAATTTACAATTCCAATTTTCAAATTGTCAAAAACTGAAAAATTAAAAAAATGGATATACAAGGTTATTATTAGTATATATATATATATATATATATATATATATATATAGACACACACACACACACGTATACACATAAGAGCAAAACCTCGTATCATATATATATATATATACACATATATGAATTATTTTGGGGAATATTTTCCCCAACATTTCTGCATTAATTAAGATGTATTTATATAAAAAGGGCAATTCAGAGTGGTTTGATGTGAATGTTCTGTTTTAAAGAATCATAATTATTACTTTGTTCAGAATTCATTACAGTGGCGATGGCTGTCAGGTTTACAAATACGCTGCCTGACATGTGGGACATTGTTTTTTGTCTTGTTCTAAAAGTTTATGTACATTCAGAGAGGTGCAGGGTCAGTATTTTTTGGATTTACCGCTTACCTGGTTCCTGTGGTGGTACAGTGATACAGAAATCAGTGTCAGACTTCTTTATGGTGGACCTTTTCACATCAAACCACTCTGAATGGCTTTAAATTTACTATTTAAACCTAACATCACAGAAAGAAGGAGGAGGAGTTCACCAAATACAAGAGTAACACGTTTTATTAGTTAAAGGTTCTGTACAGTCAGTTCTTCCTGAGAATAATTTATCAGTGACAACGTGGATTTATTTATAGATTGTACTGTACACAGGGGTGAGCAGGGACAAACTCAAAAAGACATCAGTGTCAAGGAAAAGAAATAAAAATAAAACGATTCGTGGTAATGTGGACCAGCGTCTACATACACCGACATACTTCTCTTCGAGAACGCAATGGGTAAGAAGGCCTGGAGCTACTAGAACTGTGCTTTTACTGACTGATATGAGTAGCTTTAGGAGACACTTACTGAATTGCTAACAGTCCCTGACGGCACATTGCTACCCACTGATGTCCCCTTAACGTAGATACACCCTTTTTAGCCTAATAATTTCATAGTAGTTGTGATTCTTTAAAAATATATGCCTTTGTATGTGGAGTATTATACTTAAAACAGCATGTCGTGTTACGCTCAGGAGAAATGCATTGTGTCTCGAGGTGCCCCCTGAGTGAATGCCAGAGGACGATGGAGAAGAACAGTGTGAGCCCTCAATATGTATAGAATCCAGGATATTGGTAGGAGCATATCTGCTATAGTACAGTTCGCAAGAGGAAGTATGTTTGTCTCAATAACAGTAATAATAATCATAATAAACCTTTGGGTTAGCGAAGATGGTTCCAGGCATTGCAATAGCTCAGTGTGGGTTCCAGTTGCAGGATTTTCCAGCCTAAATTGGAGCCTCGGGCCTGGAGCTGAACTTCATCTCTGGATTAAAAAAAAAAATTAATAATAATAAAAACAAGACAACCAGCACAAACAAGACCATAAAACAAACTCGACTCCAAAAGTCCACTGTATGGAGTGACGTCTCTATAAAAAAGGGGTTTAATTCATATTCTTGTAGTGAGTCAGGCTTTAGAGGTGTGATTCTTCATAGTGGTGAGAGTTCTAAGCGAGGCGGGGCCACTGGGGCTGTGTGATCCTGTAGGCCTATATGAGGGCAGCCTATTGTCCAGCAGTGGATGTCCCTCCTCTCCTCTCCTGCGCTGTAGCGTCCGGCGCTCTCCGGAGGAACTAGTGCGGCCGGGACTGCACGCTCATCTTCAGCCGTGCCTGGTCGATGACGTCCAGCAGGTTCTTGGCGTCCACGGCGAGCGCGTGCGCGGCGGTCAGCATCTGCTTCTTGTAGTCCTGCTGCAGGCTGGTCAGCACGTACTGCTGCGCCAGCTTCATCTTGTTGATGAGTTCAGCCAGGTCCGAGTTCAACAGCTTCTGGGCCATCTCGATCTGGCAGGACAGACGTCAGGGAGAGTTCAACACTTATAGAGTACTGATCATGGAAAACTGAATTTTTATAAAACAGTTATATAGTATTAAAATCTAGTCATGTTTACACACAGGCTGATAATCCGTTAATAATCTGACTAATAGGTCAATCGAATAGAATACGTCCATGTATGCACCTCCATCGGAATCGTCTAGTCCGATTGAGGCTATTCGGAATACAGTTTCTATCCGATTGAGCGAGGTGTGTAATCCTGTAAATAATCCGTTAAATAGAAGAATAATATCCGTGTAAACGCCTGTATCTGATTACATTCCCTATCGGAAAGTTTAAGTACGTTCTGCTCATGTTCGTCGCGTCATAGTGAAAGTTTATACCGATCAACATGGCGGAGCAGAAACTGGTCTGCAGAGGAGACGAAGTTTATGCTCTGATCTTTAAAAGACGGCGGTGGGACGGACGTCCAGCTTATGTGTCTCAGAACACGACGTCTTCCTCTCGGCCTTCTTTAATAAGGACGTGTGAAGGACGTTTTCCTGAGTCTGACATCATTTTAAAGTAATTAAAAATACAAGCACTGCTCACTGCTGCTCATCTCACTCTGACTGGACTCGCGTGATGCTCGTTGTTATGGTAACGTCTACACTAAGCGGTTCTCTACACATGCGTGTCATTTTGGATCTGATTTGTAGTGAGCATGTAAACTGAGATTTGCCATCAGATTGTTGAGTAGAGTATCTTTATTGGCAGAAATCTTGGCATGTTAACACGGCCACTGTTAAAGTCTGAAGTTTCCCAGTCCATAACTAAGCTGCAAAAACAGCCCATTTTGAATTAACGTTTTTGTGATTTCATGAAAACCAACACGTTTACATATATCTACCTAATTAGCTCACAGCTGTTTAGCCCCGCCCATTCAGGCTGGAGTAAATTCATTTACATGAATCTTTCTTAAAATAACAAAAACAGCCTGTCTAATGCCAAGCGGCTAAGAGAGAGGGTGGAAATCAGGCATGTAAAATGAATTATGACTGTTTTTGGTACATAAAACCACACACGTCATAAAGGGACTGTGGAGGATTTTATGTTGAGGGTTTTCTGCATTTTCAGTTCTCTGTGCTTTTTGTAAAGTAGGTTTCTGTGACAGAGTGGTGGACAGTCTGCTATATAGAACCCTGTTCAAAAAGGTTTTATATAGAAAATGTAATGTAAACAAGCTTATGGTTACACTCTTAAACATGGTTCTTCAAGGGTTCTTTAGTGAAGACAATGGTTCTATGTAGAACTATGTACACTCAAACAACCATCTGCATGCTGAAATGGTTCTTTGCATGCTGAAATGGTTCTTCAGATAGATGGAGAATGTGTTTTATGAGTTTCTATATAGCACCAAAAAGGCTTCTGTTACTGTTACTGTGTCAAGTTTCTAACAACAGAAGAACCCTTTTTGGTGCTATAACCATCTACAGCACTTTGACCATCAATCTGAAGAACACTTTCATGATGCAAAGAACCCTTAATCATGTAAAGGGTTCTTTGAGTTTTCATGGTTCTACTTAGAACCATTTTCCCAAAAGGGTTCTTCTATTGTTACAAACTTGACACCATGACAATAGAATAACTGTTTTGGGTACTATATAGAACCATTTTCAAAAGGTTCCATATAGAACCATCTACAGCATTTTCACCATCAATCTGAAAAACCCTTTCATGATGCAAAAAACCCTTTAATCATTCAAAGGGGTCTTTGAGCGTTCATAGTTCATAATATATACCACCATTTTCTTTACTAAAGAACCCTTGAAGAACCATCATTATTGTTGGACTAGCACAAGCTCAGACTGATGGCAGTCATAACAGCTGCACAACTCAAGTAATGTAATCCCAGTTTTAGATTAAAGGGACAATAACCCACATCTGCATCAGACACCCAGTGAGAGCAACAGTGGCTGCATGCTGTGAGTGTATATATCATATCTATCACAAATACAGTCAATGGTTTAACTCCTAATTGTAGCCTCTCAAAATTGCCATTAATAATTTATTGTGTTCATTTGACACCGTTATTAATTATTTATTATTGACCTGAAGTCCATGTATGACATTTGTGTTGGATTATGTGCCTAAAACTGTCATGATTCATTTCACTCAACCCTTTTCCAGCCTCTCTTTATCTTAGAACAGAATAAAGCTTTTTTTCTTCCTGTGCCTTTAAGAAGGATATCTGTAAATGAGCTTTGTTCTGATTGGCTACCCTGCATTGTACCTCATTCAAAAGCAGTCCAGGCTGACACTCCATATAACTTTAACATGAACTTGAGGGTCTGTGACACCACTAAAAATATATTTGAGCAATAGAATACGAGAGGGAGTGTGTTACGGCGAAATAACATCACGGCTGTGATTTGGTCGCAGACACGAGCCGAAGACTCAACAGTTAAATAAATAAAGTAAGAAATTAATAAACTGGGCCGTGAACGCGGCATTTAATATGTTTTAATGTTCGCAGCTCCTTCAGCCAAATTATAGTTCCTTAACGAGCAGCTTGTTGCTACGTCAGAGTAACGAACTCTGCTCACTCACTGCACAGCCGGCAGTTCGTTCTCCAGCACCTTACACTGAATTCCCAAACTGTCATCACCACTGAGCAGCTGTTCAGTCGGCAGCTGTGACAGAAGAACAGCTGAACAACCTGGTATTAGCCAGAAATTAACTGAATACCATTCGCCAAATGTGTAGTCTGATCTTCAGTGTGTGACCAAATCAGACTGAGCCATAAAACTGCCGCAATATCAAGTTCAGCTCAGTTTTCAGCTTGCGTGACCGGAACTAACTGTTGTATAAATATATATATATATTCAGAATTCAGAATCAGAACTGAATACCAGAATAATAAACTTGTTCCTAAAAGGAGCATGTTTACTCATAAGGTACTGGTAAAAAAAAAAAACAGTTCACGACTCACCTCTCTGTGTGTGCTAGCTGGTAAGACAGGTATGGTCTCGTCCACTGTGGCTAGCAGTGTTCTCAAAGCCAATCCCACCTCCTGCAACACAATCAGCAGTGATTAGCCCTTAAACCACACTCACCGTCCACTGAAAACACACTCAGACTAACGTCTGAGAATCCTCACCTTCACCATGGGCACATACTCCTCTGGGGGAGCAGGCTGGATCTTACTGGACATCTCAATGACTGCCTTCACCAATCCAGTCACGTTTTCATACACTTTATCATTGGAGCGGTCGAGGTTGGCCGTGGGTGGCGGACTGATCTCTTGAGGTTGGATCTGGAGAGTGAATAAAGGAGAAATGAGAAAACAGGGCATTCAAGAATGTTCTACTGCTCTTTTCAGTTTCTCCACTAGAGGGCAACATCCAATTCAGGACATGGTGACCACAATGAGTGCTGCACTTAGATCACAACACTAGATGGCAGCACTGTAACCTTTAATATTATAAACACTGTAGCATTTATCACTTCATCTGCAGACCACAATTTATGAGTTAAAGCAGGAAATGAAAAACAATCTAGATGGGCAAGTCCCTGTTGTTACTTGAGACTGCAAGCAAACCATCCAAATAATATGAGTTAAACATAATTTATCAGTCATTTCTTCTGAAAAGTAAACAATACAAATAGAGTGTAGTGATAAGCCAAAAAACAACAGAAACACTGATAGACAAATGGACAAACACATTTCTAAGTTTAAAGGTACAATAAGTAACATTTCACATTTTCTTTGCTTGTTTTAAAATGTCAATGGAGAAAAAAGTACTGTAGAAAAAAGTATACTGTATGCATTTGCTAACATTTAACAGATTAATTTTCATTAAAATGTTAATGAAATAGGTTTAATTTCCTGGCCGGGCAGCGTGGAGTCTGCATGTTCCCCCAGTGTCTGCGTGGGTTTCCTCCGGGTGCTCCGGTTCCCTCCCACAGTACAAAAACATGCAGTCAGGCCAATTGGAGATACTAAGTTGCCCAGAGCTATGAGTGTGTGTGACTGCGTATGTCTGTGTGTTTGCCCTTTGATGAACCGGCAGCCTGTCCAGAGTGTTTCCTGCCCAATGAGCGCTGGGATAGGCTCCAGCGCCCCCCGCGAGCCAGGAGGATAAGCAGCTTAGATGATGAAGGAATGAATGAATGTCAGGTTTTTTTTTTACTTATTGTACCTTTAATGTCCTTCTAAGCTGAGAACTATAACTAAGATGACTAAGGTCCCACTCTTTAGTTCAGGCCAAATAAGGTGGCATATATATGGAGTACTGTTACTGGGGTGCCTACACACTACAGACTGACGCTTCAAAAGAGGACGCTGTGTTGGCTCTGCCAGACAAGAAAACAGGCCCATATGCAGACAAAATATGCTGCGATGGGCTCTGAAAAAGTAAACGTCTGCTGCAATGGATTCTGAGAGACAAATTATTTATTTAATTTCCAGTTAAAATGGCCATTCAGTACAAGTTCTTCATTTCTCAGTGTCAGGAAAAAAGCATATTTAACAGAAGATTACACAGAAGTAAACATAATCCATAATCAATCCAACCTTTAGCTTTATTACAGCTTCTATTCTTTTTTAGAAGTTTTTCAGAGAAATCTTTTGCAAATTTTTCCACACCTCCAAAGTTCAGTCTTAGAACTTGGTTGCTTTTACTGCTTCTCACAATCCAAGAAACCCAAATACATTCAGTGATGTTGAGGTCTGGACTTTGGGGTGGTCAGTCCATTGTTCTGCGAACACCAGCACCTGTTTAATTTGTCTATCTCCTTTTCTCAGTGAGGTTCTTCTTGAACAGCTACACATCCTTTCAGACCCATAGCGCTGAGTCATCTTCTCACAGTGGAAGGATGGATGTGGATGTTTCAGATCTGAAGCAGCTTGATTTTCTCCTCTCTCTCAAAGATGAAAGCTTTAAGTGCTGTTTATGTAATGGGGTCAGTTTTGATGGTCCACCGGGTCTTGCAAGGTTGTTAGGAGTCCCATTTTCTCTGTAGCTTTTAATCATTTTTTGAACTCCAGTTTTGGAAACTTTTTTCTCCACTTATTTCCCTTTGACCTTCTCCTTCCTTATGCAAGTGGATTAACTACTCTCCTCAGAAACTAACTTGTACTTAATGGCCATCTTGACTGGAAATTAAATCAATAAAGGATGATCTCTGACCTTTGTACAGTACTGAACCAGTGAAAAAAGGGATGAACAGGCAAAGTCAGACGTCTGATTTGTCTGGTTGATTTTCAACTGTATAAACTCCGCCCCTGCTCCACACTAGACTCCGCCCTTGCGCTATCTAGTGTGTAGGCACCGTTACTGGAAGCGCATTTACTGCAACACTATTTTCTTACACCATACAGATGACTGGGAGAGTGCTGGTCACTGGTGGCCACTGCTCTCCTAATCACCTGCATGATATCAGTGGTCACTAGCGGCCAGACTAGGACTAACATACAAACACACATAAGTGACACGGTCCTTACCCTCCAGGGCTACGTGCAACAACAGTGCGGCAAAAAGCAGGCGAGCGTGAGGGGGAGGGAGGGAGGGAGGGATGCAGGGAAACAGAACAGGAACAAAGAATTAATGATGCAAAAAAAAAAATAATAAGTACATGCAAACATTCAGAATCGCAATAAACAAACAGCAGCCTGCAGTGTTGTGTAATTTGGTGTTGAGATGTGACAGGAGCATATTTCTTCTGACTGTGATAACAAGGCGTAGCGTACGGTGGCTGTGTAGGAGGGCTCACGTCAGATGTTTAAAATGTAAAATTAAATCCAGACACATTCGATTCTGCTTGTTTAATTAAAGGAAACACAAGACATCTTTGGGCTTAGCGAGGCCTGTTAGTTCAGCTTCTCTACGCAGAACAAGCTGTTTTGCTTGGGCCGTTGAGGCCGGAAGCGGGAGAGCCTTGAAACAGCTTTATCTTCAAAACAAGGGGCCTCTTGGAGGAGCCGTCACTAAAACTGCCTGGAAAGTTTAAACACATTCGAAAAAGGCAGAAAAATAGACGTCTTAATTTCACCTCTGCTCTAAAAAAGCTGAAGTATTGCGTAAGAGCTGGCTACAACAAAAACGTGCGGTTTTACAGTCCGTTCTGTGCTGCGGCTTTGAGAAAGAGGTGGAAGAGGTCACAACCCCGTGGTTGAAGGGAGCTGGGACCGAAAACACACTTCTACCCCCCCTTCTTATCCTCCGACTGTCCCAGAGTAGATTTTCCCAGAGAGCAGAACCACATCCCCTTATTCGGTTTACCCAGCTCCACTTGAACTTGCGCTGCTGTTCTAAAGACTGAAATAATGCTGCTTTCTCAGAAGACCAACTGGTTTACGAGGGAGGTAAACAAAACATTGTATCTCCTCGTATCTCCATTTTTGACGTTTTTCTGTTTTTGAGATAATGTAAAAATACCTCTTGCTCTTTACATTGTGTGTAAATTTCATGATGAATGGACTAACAGAAATTACCTAAAATGGCTTGGAAAAAATTCTGGTTCCACTGACTTACATTGAAAGTAAAGTAGGTTTTTTCCTTCTCCTGTAAAGTTCTCATTTTGGAGATACGAGGTTTTCTTCCGACAGCAGCGATATTTGCACATTATTATTACTACTATTATTGGAGTTTTGGTGATGAAAATAGTGTTAACATCATAACTCTGTGAATTCATGCTGAAAATTTTGATATACTCGATTTATAATCCAACTTTGAAGGGCGTTCATGTGGTGCCTCCTTGTGGGAATCTCTATATTTCCGATAAAACAGAGACCGCTTGATAGCAGCATCAGTGTTTTCAATAGCATAAAACCAATTTTGTTGCAGATTCATACATGAAATGATGTGCTAACTACTCTGCAACTTCACAAAAGAGCACAATATTTGAAACTAAGGCTGTGCCTTTTAGTGTCCCAATCTAAAGCGATACGATACGCTGAGAAAAAATACAAATGATCCAATCATACGAATTGGATACAGTGATTCGGTACAACGCGATACGATAATACAATATGATACAATGATATATGATTCAATGATACAACACGATGCGATATGATGATGCGATACAATACGATACAATTATGTGGTGCAATACTATACGAAACAGTGGTACGATATAATAACAAAGACACGATACAATGATAATGATATGATATATAACGATATAATACAGTGAGCTGCAACAGAATTTGCTAGTAAGATACACTGTATTATTACATCCTTATCCAGAACAATGAACAGAGTTATAGTTGAATCTAAAAAGTGTTGAGAATGAAGTTATAATAACATCACCATGCCTCTTCTGTGAAGAGGTGATTAAATCTTGAAGCAGATAATAATAAGAAATGACTATAAATAGTTACAATTTATTGTTCATTATTTAACAGCTTCCCTGTTTCTGAAAAACTTGAATATTTCATAGAACATCTGAAACACCTTCTGGCATCTAGTTCAGAATATTTCAATCTACAGTTATTGGGTTATTATCGAATGAAACAACATCACCAATACGTGATTTCAGTCTTTGGAATGGTAGCGTTTGTCTTATGCAGAGAAAGTGTGTGTGGTAATGTGGTCTCGGACAGAAGAGGCCGCTGGGCCCTTTGCTGATGAGGCTTTAGCTGTTCTGCTGATGAACAGCAACTCTGGCCGCTCGGCTAAGGCAAGAGAGCAAAAAGACACGTTGACAGCGTCGTTTTTCCATCTGCTCTGCACAGCCAAGTTCTTCAGTTCAAACGGTCAAGCGGTAGCACTTCAGAATAACAAGGCGAAAAAGGGGAATAAAGGGATGTGTGATGGAAAATTTGGAAGGGAAACCAAAGCGCATGCTTCACGGCAGGGAGAAGTTATAAAGGTTCACTTCAAACACAGGCAGGCAGAGTGTTTTCCGTGCAGTAGCTTTGGCTGAGGACTGAAAGCCCCATGCTTCCTCACCAGAAGATGAAAGCAACCGTACCTTAACGCCCTCATTGTAGCTGTCCACCGGATTAATGCTGGCCAGGCTGCCCAGGTGGCTGGGGGCTCCTGGACGAGGGGGCTTCTTGGGTGGAGCTACAAGTTCTGTTTGGGGGAAGAAGACAAGCACTGTTAGCATGTAATTTCATTCAAGTTTTTTTTTTTTTTGCAGTCGTTCAGCCAAGACATGTTTGTTGTGTGAAGTTTGCTTTTTTTTTGTTTTAGTTTTGCAATGGAGCTACAAGGCTAACGTAATGGAAACTTTCACCCCACCAACAGCTTCAGCCTCAAAATGCATCAAGTGACATATTGACATACTGTTATTTATAAAAATGGAAAAAGTACTGACAAAATTCAGGCTTCAAATCACTCCTACTACTTGTATTTTTTAGCTATGCAATGTACTTTTTAAAATTCAGCAAATAAGGAAAAAATTTGAACATCCCTGGTTAAATGACGTTTTGTTGATTTTCTAAGTGAAAATAAGTGAACACATCCTCTACAGAGAACAAGCTTCTGCACATTTTAATTCACCATTACTGGTTATTTGCTGAATGTTAACATACTGGGGGAAAAACAAAACAACAGAAAACAGGGCAAAAGTAACATCAGATTTCACTATGTATTTTTTCCAATGTGTTAAATTCAGCAAATAAACAGTAATTATGTATTAAAATATTCACTTAGAAAACCATCAAAACTTAATCTGACCAGGAGTGTTTTAAATTTTTGCCTACAAATGTAGATAACAGTATGTTACACAGTGTCAAACACCACTTACGCAAGTCTATTAGACATGATTTAACTGCTTAACACGGTTTGAGGCAGCTGTGTGATGATTTAGGCATGCAGTTAGCAAAGTGCTAACTGGTGGTGTATAATCTTCCATTCCTTAGTTGCATTGGAATTGTAGCTCCAGTGCAAAAATAAAGAAGCCAACATAATTTTAGATGCTGTAAATTAGATTTTTTTTTGTTGAAATATCGCTTCAAGGAGTATTACACAACGTCAAACACATTTAACTCTGTTTCGTTCATAGGCAGCTGTCATATTCCACTGTTTTGTAGAAAAAGAAAAGTGCTAGGTTTATACATATTGGGACCTATTTCAGGACTTTAAGGCATTTTCTCTCAGTGATAGGTGGGACTGGTGGCAGGGGGAGGTGAAACATAATATCAGTTAATATGCTTTTTTCCTTGCCTGCTGGTGCACAGTGATGTAATCAAAATTCAGAAGACATTTTGGAGGTAGCAAAAGTCACTATATTTAGATGGAAGACAGTGGACGAGTATCAAGAATTTGGTCTTTTGAATAATAATGTTTGATGAGTCGTGCTTAATATGACCAGAAACAAGAACAAGCAATGTATAAAAGGTTCATTTTGGGTTCAGGCTAAGTTTAAACTGCTCTCATTCTTCACTTTCTCTATTCCTTTACGTAATGCTAAAGCGTTAGATTCAGCCAGTTACTTGTGAAGTAGTTCATTACCTGAAGCAGGTGTGGCACATTTTGTCTGAAACGACACTCTGCATGAAGGTAGATCTCCAGGAGCAGGGCTGGTGACCACTGATTCTATACCATTTAAAAAGTTTCCCTCCACCCAAACCGAGCACCATTTAGAAACTTTGTTTTCAAGACTGCGCTGCTAACACTAATTCTAACGCTGCTGATGATCACCTACGTTTCATGAGGTAAACAACATCAGCGCTTGCACATAAGCAACCATCAAAATGAAGTGTAACTAAATATTTTATGAAGTCCTAAAGAAGGAACATTCATTTAAAATACTGTATGTAAAAATCTCACAGTTAGAGAAGTGCATGCTTAGAGAAGTGAGACGTGTGCTGGGGCCCTTACCTGCTTTGCCCACGGGCTGGTATATGTGCTGGTTTCCCGTCTGGAAGAAAAAAAAAATACAAAAACAAGCCTTTAGAGACTCGCTGGCTGGCCTGGGCTCACTGCTTTTACTGCTGCCCACCACGGCCTGTGGGATTGTGGGAAGTATGTGGGACCGCGTACGTAATCCAGCCCCTGAGGCGCTTGTGCAAATGCATCTCCAAAACACTTTCTATCAAACATTCTCTCCATCTCTTTTTTATAGTCCATCTCTTTTTCTCCCCCACTTGCTGGCATACCGATGCTTCCTGTCTTCTCCCATGTGTTCAGACAGTTCTGTAATTACTGGGAGAAAATGGGCCTGGTTTTGTGGGTGCTGTCGAGCTGACGCCTGTTTTTCGCAGATTACCCGGTGGAGATGATGGCATGTAAAACGGCTGCTTGTGGCTGCTCTTCCCACTCGCGCTCCCCTCCCCAAGCTCCTCTCTAGGGATGGGCTGAAGCTCAAAATTTAACCCCCCTCTTAACCCTTAGAAGTTGCAGCTGTTGCCAGCAAAAGCAAATAAAATGTCATTTCATATAAATTATTTCTAACATGTGGCACTGACAGGTCAGATTCTATGCTTTCAATACATACCACAATTGTGTTTGTAAGTAAAAGAGGAGATATTTAATTATAGAAAGTTACTGTTGTGTTTACAGGCTTCTACTGTGGAAACACAAACCTTTATCATTTATCACTTATATTTTGACATCAAAACAAACAGAAAAAGTCATAAGTACAGACTTAAACCTATCGAGACCGAATGTAAATCAGATGTAAATGTAATTCACAGCGCATAACACTGAAATTATTTGGGTAATTAAAGGGCTCATATCCTACAGCCTACATCTTACACAGGCCCACATCAAAAATAGTCATAACTCATTTTTTGCATGACCGTTTCTCAACCTCTCTTCATCCCTCATAATTAAACAGGCTGTTTTTGTTTTTTTGTAACTGTGCCTTTAAGAGAAACATATGTAAATGAGCTCTGTTCTGGTTGGCTGCCCTTGATTGTGCTTTACCTCACAAAGGAATCTGGGCTGAAACTCTTCTCATAGCTTCAGCATGAATGGACAAGGCTTAACTGCTGTAGGCAGAATTCGCAAGTATAGGTAAATGTGTTTTCGTGACATCACAAACACAGTGAACTCTATTTCTGCAGTTTAATTTTCATGGACTTTGGAGTGAACAGTATGTTTTTAAACAACAGGTAACAGTCCTTTCATGCTACATCAAAATGTTTTATTAAAAAAAAAATATATATGATATGAGGTCCTTTAAGTAACTACGTAAAAACAGTCTGGCAAAGAAACAGGACCTTCACTTCTAGGGGTTAAAAATCAAACATGCACATCATTTTCACCAGCCAGCAGCTAAATGTCAGTAGAAGGGAAACAGCTCCTTTCTGTCAGGCCCCTGGATTATAAGTCCATTCTTAAAATTCTTAAGAGCTTCAGAGCTCATGGCTTCCGGCAAAAGGCTTCAACAGAGGAATATTTACAACGCAGAATGGAGAGCAATACTGAAAGACAGTGAGTGAGTGTCCTCAGCACGACATAGTAACTCCCTCTGGGATAAAAGAGAAATAAGCAGAGACCTATGAGAACTCACCGGCCCCTGGAGAGCTCCGTCCTCTCGGTCAATGCTGCCCCTTGAGTTCCTGGACTCCAGCTTCTGGACACACACGACCAAAAACAAAACACACACAATCACATCTCCAATTCCATATATATGCATCCACTGAAACGTTCCAATTCAGCTTTCACCCTTTAGTGCACACAATGAAGTGGCATGTAGAGACAGTGCAAAAGTCAGAAACCATTTCTCTTCATTTATTTAATGTCCAGTGCAAAAACGATCATCCGCTTGATGTTTCTGAGGTTATTAGACAGGAGATAATCCAACTGCATAAGAAAGGACAGTCAAAAAGAAAATAAGTGAAAAAAACAGGAGTTTCCAAAAGTGGAGTTCAAAAAAAGATTGAAAGCTACAGAGAAATTGGGACTCCTAACAACCATGCAAGACCTGGTAGACACCAAAACTGCCCCTATCAGATTAGCAGCACTTAAAGCTTTCATCTTTGAGAGAGAGGAGAAAATCAAGCTGCTTCAGATCTGAAAACATCCACATCCTTCCTTTCACTGTGAGAAGACGACTCAGCGCTATGGGTCTGAAAGGATGTGTAGCTGTTCAAGAAGAACCTCACTGAGGAAAAAAAAAGAAACATCAAAACTGAACATCTGAGATGTGGATGTTTTATAGACCGATGAGTCTAAATGTGGACCATGAGAAATGGCAGAAAATGCAACCAACTTCTAAGACTGAACTTGTACCTACTGGCTGTTTTAAATGGAAATTAAATAAATGAAGGGTGGTCTCTGACTTTTGCACAGTACTCAAAACATAACAAGAAACAATACATACACCTACACACACACCTACACACACACCTACACACACACACACACACACACACACACACACACAGTTTCTAAGCCGCTTATCCTTCTGGGTCACAGGGACAATACATATAAATAAGCACAAAAATTCTGATTTTTTTAACAAGTTACACTGACCTCTACCTATTTCATCTCTACTGATCTCACCCCAAAAACAGCCCAACAATACCAATATTACACAACAATACACAGCAGGATTATAAATCTCTGACTGCACAACAGTTTGATTATGACTCCTTCATTCATTATGAAATCGTAGACTTCACCATAATTCAAATCATTTTTTGGTACAATTATTTTAAAATAGTTTTTAAAAATACACTGAATGCACAAATGAATATGTTTTTTCTTGTTGTTTTTTACATTTGAAAACGAGTCAAGCATTCTATTTTGGCCAAAATAGACCCAGAGAGAGAGGCCACTCTTCTTGAGCACTATTACAATCAATTCTAGACTATTATGACATCCCAAAACTAATACATATCACAAAGCACTGACGCATTTTTAAATCATATCGACTCTTCCAACTACTATCAACAAACCACACCAAACATCTAAAAGAAAACTTCCTATAACAAGCAGTAAATCCAGTCTTATATCCAAAAATCCACACCAGATTCAAGAATTTGCCCAAACCGAGACAGTACCGGTTTTCCAAAGCAGGATTTAAAAATGTGCATCCTCGGAGCCGAGTGCGTCCTGGCCACAGCGAGGAGAGAGTGAGGGGAGCGAGATTCCATCACAGAAGGAGTGAGCTGTGGCTTTCTGCTGGAGCGCCGCTTAAATGCGCCTGGATGTAGCGTGCGGAGAAAACACGGCCAGCGCACTCCCCCCACCACCTCACTCTCTCACTCTATCTCTCTCTCTCTCTCTCTCTCTCTGCACTTTCCCTCAACTCTCCTTCCACTCACTTCAGCTCTCTTTAACGCATCCCACCACCCCTCCCTGCCCCGCTGGTCTGCATTTAAAGTGATAGATCAGCTCTTACCCAAATGTAGTCAATCAGCCATAACATGTTAGGTAGAGGTTTGCTCTTTTAGTTTTGTGCTGGAGGTGTGCGGCTAATTTAGCTAAGTGATTAAAGCTTATACTCAGCAATTAGCTCTTGTGCAAACTGCATATCCAAATCATCATGCCTCAATTCTTAAGACTCTGTAATAGTCCTGCTTATGTGCTTTCTGACACTGTATGACGTACTGTTGTCTAAAAATGGATCAAGGTTTGCCTAGCTAGACATACTAGCATCCATCTTCAGGTGCACACAAATATGAAACATTTGCACTGGCTACTCATTCAAGCTGCCAAATTAGGAATTTGTGGCCAGCATTACAGAAACACGTTCATCCTATACCTCATATTTACAATTAACAATCCACCAAAAATAAGGAAATATTTACTAAAATATTTACTAAAATCTCTACATAATAAGAACACCATCATAGTGGTGACTGTGGTGGTCACACCTACCAAGCTGGTCCACCCTGACATCATCCAATCTATGTTATTTTTAATTTAAGGGCCCATATTGTAAAAAAATATATATTTTTCCTCACTTTTATGGGAATTAAGCTGCAAAAATGAAAAAAAAACTGAAATTTTTACCTAAACTGTTTCTGTGACATCACAAACCAACATATTTATATATCCACCTATTCAATGTGTAGCTGTTTAGCCCCGCCCATTCACACTGAAGGAGTGTTTCAGCTGGAACTGCTTTTTAACCAGACACTATACAAGGACCAGCCAATCAGAACAGAGCTCAACAGCCTGTTTAAGTCTAAGGGATAAAGAGAGGTTGTAAAATGGTCATGTTAAAATGAATTCTGACCGATTTTGGTACACAAACCCACAGAAACATATAAAGGTTATAAGTGAACCTGACATAACCTCCAGGGCTAAAATAAAACATAGGATATGGGCTCTTTAAATATTGTTTATCTACCGCAGTGACAGCCTCTCAGAGTAAAGCCAGTTTACTCAAAACCTTACTCAATTTAAGACTTTATTTCATAGAGTGATAAAGCAATCTTTAGCCAATGGAACAGCATCTGTTATGCCTGGAATTCCAGCTTGGCAGGGGGTGATCATCACAGTCACCATAAAACCACTTTCGTTAATGCCATAATTACAGTTTATGAACTGCAACAAAATCTGTTTTGCCTGAATAGTTGCATATCGGAACAAACAGGTTTGTTTGACGGGTAAAGGTGTATCCAAATCAAGTGGCCACTTGGGCCTCAGGCTCTGCATTTATAGTGGCCAAAATGCAAAATGCTGTGTCCAGGGACACCCTTATGCGGTAAGAACGAACGACGACTCAAAGAAGTGCGACTGCAGTCTTTCTGGTGGGTCTCATCCCAGTAAAAAACAGCAAAGAGCGTCAGAACCAACGGATGCCAAATCTGTCATGAGATTCTCACAATTCTCAGAATGCATAAACCACAGGGATTTCCGTAGCTTCCCAGAACCCTGGCAGCCTTCATTAATGAATGCTCAGCCAGGCATTCCGCATTTTCCATCATGGAGGTAAGACTTTTAGACAACAAAAAGGCAAATCACATGTCCTGCCTTTGTCAACTCCAACTCCAATTGCTCAAGACAGTTGTATGTGAGAAGTGGATTCGAGACAAAGCCAGGTTTTTAAAGATGTGAGCAGCTCTGAATATCCACCAAAAGCAAGCGTACTATTTTCCACAAAGCAGAAGCAGTGTGTCTAAGCCATTTACTGCTTGAGCAAACTGCTCTAAAATGGTTTCAGACTGTGGGGATAAAATGGAGGAGATGGAATGGTTTCATCCACAGCTTTGGCTCTCTGGGTGGTTCAGCTTTCAGTGGATGAGGTGCACGCGATCTCAAAGGTCTGCCTGATACACACGTAGTGCTGGGCAAAAGTCAGAGACCATCAGTTTTACAGTCAAAACAGCCATTAAGAAAAAAAGCAGAAAACATATTTAACAGAGAATTACAGAAGCATCAATAACTATATAATACATCAACATTTTCAGTACTTAATGTGTCCACTTTCTTCCATTGCTTTCAGTGATTCAAAGAAATGTGCGGGGATATTTTTCCACACCTCCAAAGTTCAGTCTCAGAAGTTGGTTGCATTTTCGCAATCCAAGTAATCCCAAACACTTTCAATGATGTTGAGGTCTGGACTCTGGGGTGGTCAGTACATTGTACATTGCACCAGATCTGAAGCAGCTTGATTTTCTCCTCTCTCTCAAAGATGAAAGCTTTCAGTGCTGTTTATCTGATGGGGATGGTTTTGGTGTCTACCAGGGCTTGCACAGTTGTTAGAAGTCCCATTTTCTGTATATTCTTCTTATACTTTTCTGAACTTTGGTTTTGGAAAACCTTGTTTCTTAAATAATTTTCCTTTAACTTTCCCCTTCCTTATGCACATGGACTGTGTAATATCTCATCTCCTCAAAAGTATCCCTAAATAAAATCAATAAACTGTACTTAACGGCTGTTTTGACTGGAAATTAAACAAACGAAGGGTGGTCTCTAACTTTTGTACAGTCAGGATTTACAGCTTTGTTTTTTTGAACCTGGGTCCCCTTTATTGTGCAGCATCGTGCATCACCTTTTTCACTGAATAAAAACAACAGGCCCCTCAACCACAAAACACACTCAAAACACACACCTGTGCCAAAATGAGGGTTAAGGCCGGGATCAGAGATTGCTTTTGTGCCAAAGAAAGACAAAGAGGCCATTGAAGTCGGTTGGAAATGAGGGGATGAGAGGAAAAAAGAGAACCAAAAAGTGCATGCGAAATTTGTGTGTGAGAAAAAGAAACTAAAATCTCAATTGCTTTTTTTGTTTGTGACAGTTTGTCTATGCAGAAATCTCTGCAGTGTGTAGGGAGTGGCCTGCTTGCCCACTGTCTGAGAGGGGAAGTTGCAAGTAAAGCATATGAGTTAAACAGGCTGAACACCAGTGTTGGGGTAGATAATCAAAAAAAGGAAATCCATTACAAATTACTAATTACATTTCTCAAACTGGAATTACTTTCCTTTTACTTACTGGAAAAACTAACCTCACTACTTAGTACTTTACTTCTGAGTTACTCTCTAAAATCCAAATAAATCCATAAAAATCTGTAAAAGGAAAACCTAGCAATCCTTTCAGTACTTTATTTAGAAAAATCAGCCAATCACAGTAAACATTATTTAAAAGGCCTGTGACTACTCCCGCCTTTAAATAAGCTATAGCTAGCTAGGCTTATCATGATGAGGAATGGCTGATGCGGTTGGAAAACTGAGAAACCTGTCAGTAGAAATGATCCATAATGAGCTATGAATGAATATTAAAGCTCACAGAGTTTAGGTGAGGGGTCTCTCATCTTTGGCACACAGATATTTATCCATCAGTTTCATATCAGCACATACAGAGTTTACTGCATAAATATACACACCTAGATGTCGCTTTGGGTCCAGCCAGGCACGTCAATGGCACAGCCATTTTGGGGCGGTCAACATCGCTGCTGGACAGCAGCCAGTACCATTACAGAGCGGCAGTTTAAGAAAGATACTGTCCAAAATTACACTATTTCAAGAATATTGATCTCAGAAAGTGGGATAGGATTATATAACGGAGGGAACGCAGCGATCCACACGCATGTTTGTGTGATGCGTATTGTTTGTGTGATGTTTATGTGTAGATATGGCCGTGTGGTTGGTGATGCACAGAGAACCTGCTGATGTGACTGTTTTTCCTGGTGTATCAACCAGCATCTTGCTCTGATTTTCCTGTTCCACTTTAAATGGTACAGCTTTAGGCACCAGAAAGTGACTGCTGCACCATTTAAGGTGGAACGGGAAAACTTTCTGGTGAAAATCGGTTGAGTAAATCCTGAGACTCTTCATCTCTCAATACAAGTTAACTTGTTCACAAGCGGATCTTGACCGCTCCAACATGGCTGACACGCAGACGTATCGCCTTAGACAGAGAACAACAGACAACGCGGCATCCAGGTATGTATATATGTGGTTTACTGCACTACTCGCATTCACAAAGTCATGCAATGAACTGTCGCAGGTACCACACACACGCAAACTACATACTAGTCACTGATAATCGATATAGAAGAAACGCATGCTTTAAACACATTGCATGTAATTATTACAGCTCTCTTAGAGACCAAATCTTATTAAGTCAGTAACTTCAATGTGATGACTGTAATGCATTGCACTACCTCATTACAAAAAAATCACATTACTGTAAGGTGTTACTGTGTACGGTGTACTGTGCCACCATCAACACTGCTGAATACACAGATGGAAATGAGCTGACAGTACCAGAAAGCTCTCCTCCTGTTCCAGCCAGCGCTGGTCCTCCTCCATCTGCTGCTGCTGCATCATCAGCCTCTCCTCCATCAGATGGGCCGGCAGCCCCTGTCCCAGTGCTCGCATGTCCAGAGCGCCCCCGTCCTGACATACGCACACACATGCACACATTACCTCTAGCTATCGAGCAGGAGGGCTCCAATCCTGGACTGTCAGACTCCAGCACAGTTTGGTGATTTTCCTGCTCTACACCAACTAAACCATTAACCAATCAGTCGAACCACATGTATTTGAGCAGGAAAAGCACCAAACTGTGCCGAACAGACAAGGAGTACTGTGCAAAAGATACAGACCAGCCTTTTAACTTTCAGTCAAAACAGCCAAGCACAAGCTCACTCAAGCTCACTCCATTTTTCAGCACCAGGAAGCAGAAAACGTGCAGTACTGTGCAAAAGTTTGAGGCATCTGAGAAAATTTAAATTTTCAAAAACTATTTATGTGGGTGTTTATTTGCTCAGAAAAACATTATTATTAGAATAAATATAAAAATTACAGTACAATAAGTAGTACTTTTACATATGTTAACCTTTTCCAAACCTCTCCTGGTGGCAGCCTGGTACTATTTGTTGCCACCATCCAAAAACCTCCTGATGAATGCTTTGTTATGTTAAATCGAGTGGGCTTGTACCAATCCATACAATGGCTGGAGTCATCCAGAAGAAATCTGTAACTAAATCTTTCACCATATTTAGGTTTATTTCTATTATTTTAATGATTTTTGGTGTTTTTACAAGACAAAAACCACACTTAAAGCTGAGATAACTGGATTCAAACAACGTGCGTAGGTGCTTTTAAGACAAGCCTCAACAATAAAAAACAACAACATTTTTTTCAGTATTTAGTGTATCCGCATGCTGCCTTTATTACAGCTTCCACTCTTTTTAGGAGACTCACTTTCAATTTTTCAAAGAAAACTACAGGGATATTGTTCCACACCTCTTAAGTTCAGTCTTAGAAAGCGGGTTACATTTTCTGCCTCACTGCTGTTTACAGTTTTGGTGGTCTCCCAGTCTTGAACAGGGTAAAAGGGGGCTAACAAAGTATGCAGAGAAACAGATGGACTACAGTCTGTAACTGTAGAACTACAAAGTGCACCTATATAGTAAGTGGAGCTGATAAAATGGACAATGAGTGTAGAAACAAGGTCATAATGTTATGCCTGATCGGTGTAAATTCAAAACATTTTTGGAAATGTTAGTGCACAGGTTCATCCAAAAGTGCTTTAGCTTTCAAATAAATTCAGTACATTTAAATTTTACCATACCACTTGTGGTCCAAAATAAATCAGCCAGTTTTTGATGCTTCTTTTCACTTTTGATAAACATATTTTTATGTATTTATGTTTGAGCTCATCTAATTTAAACAACATAAAACTGTTCTTGAATCAATTTGCCAGAGTTTCTAGTGGCTGTAACAAGTAGCTTCTCAGTTTGTTAGAGTTAAACTCACCTGCTGGGTAGATTGTAGCATGTGCACTCGCACCACATTAGGCTGAATTGTTCATAAATGGCAGATGCTGAAAACAATCGGCACACAATATTATGAAATATGCACTGAAGTGAGCACAGAAAACTGACACTCACCTCCATGTTAGGAGACCACATGGGCACGTCCTGTCTGTGGTGGTTCCAGGTCTCGTGCGGGTCTAGAACAGAAGCCTGGGCTGGGTATCCTCCACCGGGCATAGAGGGCATGCCGTGAGAGCCGGGGAAACCAGAAACCTTCAGCAGAACAAGACGCAGGTCAAAACATGCTCAGGTGCCAGTGAAAAGTACGCACAAAATACAAAAATAACAGCTGGTTTTCCTATTCCCGCTCCCAGACAGAGCTTTTCTGGCTTAAAGATGCTGTTGAAGATAAAACATGGTACCAGATCAAGTCCCTCCCCCTCAATCCATCAACAGTATAAACTGCTCCTGAACTCTCGCTTGATCTTTGACCCTCACTCAAACCCAGGGGAGACCCCTCCAGTCTGGTCTGCTTCTCTCCCTTTCAGTGGAAGGAAATAAATGAACCGATTCAAAAATAACTTCACACTGGCCAGGCTTTTCACCCAGATGCCTTTTACGGTAAAAACAGAGTGAGCTCACATTGAAGTGATAAGGGCAGAATTTGGAGGGCGAGTACTATTTTAATGTTGTTTTTTTTTTTGGCAGACAAATTCCATCTTGAGTCAACAATTACAGCAGTCTTAAAAGAGCCTGCAGGAAATGGCTGCTGTCAGGCTGCTTTATGAGGCACTGCAGTGCTGTGAAACAACTTAACTTCTGAGTTCACTCCTCCGCTGCTGGGTTGGCAGAGCGGGCATCAGCCTCTCGACCCCAGGGCTAAGCTGGAGCACGGGGCTTTTTTCATTAGGAGTCATTTAGAGTTATTATTGTTGCTTTGCTATGCATTCAAAACTCATTACATAATGATTACATATATTTAAATCAATACACATTCTGAATCAACAGGACCTGGGGGGCCCCTGATTAACACAAAATTTAAAAAACTGTTGGCAACATTTGCTACTTCTGAGGGTTAGTGGGGCTTGCTCACTGGCAAAAACAGAGCTGGATGATCTGGATGTGTTATTGATGGAGGGCAGGAGCTGACAGTGCTCTGATGGGTTTGGTTACCTGGTAATGGTTATGCTGGCCTGCGTGCTGAGGGCTGGGGAAGTAGCCTTCACTGGATCGAGGACTGGGGTAACCGGGCCGGCTGGGCTGCAGGAAAAAAAGATAAAAATAAAAAAAGATTCAGCAAAAATACTTTTCTGCAAAGCTGCAATTTACTAAACAATCCTCACTGAAATATTTATATTACAAATGAAAAATGATCACAATGCACCAACCTGAAGCTGACAATTCAACTGACATTACTACAATGTTGAATTTTATTAAAATAAATCATAATAAGAATCAATAAACTAAATGTTTTTGGTCACAATACAATCCTTGCACTACTGTGTAAGTAGTTCCTCAGGTCAGAGTTATGTATTCAGTGTCATTTAAAAATAAACCATACACTTTCACCTCAATTCATGTTTTGGTATGTTTTTATGAAACACTGAATCATTCTGTAATTCATAAGGAATCTTTGTCAGATCAGAGAATCAAAGCCCTATTGCAAATGTGTGTCAACAGCAGCTACAGCACAGAAAAACATCCTGATATGTAAAGGCATGCAAAGCTGGCTGTGGCTTTAGGGGGATTAGATGGGGCAATGAGAGGAGAGAAAAGGCTGTTCTGAATCACGTAGTGTCTGTTATGTAACACGGCTGAAGGTAAACAGAGCTACGCAGGCCAGAGTGTTGGCTAAAGACAGAGCAAAGCGAAACACAGCGTTCTGCTTAATGTGAGCTTTGGAGGACACGTCACAAATGTGTCCAAAAAGTAAACCGAGTTTCATAACACAGTATGATTAATCACAAACACTTGTCAGGCACTGAGATCTGTTACAGATAAACGCAAGCACGCTTAATTGTAGTCATTAACGCAGCTTCATCAGATGCACTGTGTTATCTGTATTTGGTTTGCTTATAAAAACCAAACATAACTATCTTTATCAACTACAGCACTGCGCCAAAGTCGGAGACCACCTTTCCTTTACTTAATTTCCAGACAAAACGGCCTTTAAGCACAAGTTATTCGATTTCATCAGGAAAAAGCAGAACAAACAAACAGTTACTTAAACAAAAACCAAATATAATGCAGTTTTTAAGGATTTTAAGTGTCCACTCTTTGTCTTTATTACAGTTTCCATTCTTTTCAGGAGACTTGCTTTGAGTTTTTAAATCTGCAGGGATATTTTTCCACACCTCCAAAGTTCAGTCTTAGAATTTGGTTGCATTTTCTGCTTCGTACCATTCAGGTAATCCAAAAAACATTTAATGATGTTGAGGTCTGGACTTTTTTTTCGTAGTCTATTTTCTTTTCTCAGTAAGGACTTCTTGACAGCTACACATCCTTTCAGACCCATAGCACAGAGTTGTGAAGCAAGAGTGGAGCTTGATTTTCTCCTCTCTCTCAAAGATGAAAGCTTTAAGTGCTGTTTATCTGATGGAGGCAGTTTTGGTGTCTACCAGGTCTTCCAGGTGGTTGTTAGGAGCGTCATTTTCTCTGTAGCTTTTAATCAGTTTTTAAACTCCTGTTTTTTTTTTTACTTATTGTCCTTTAACTTTCTCCATCTTTACACAAGTGGACTATGTAATATCTAATCTTCTCAGAAATATGTCCAGAAAAATGAACAACCTGTACTTAATGACCATTTTGACTGTAAACTAAATAAACGAAGGGTGGTCTCTGACTTTAGCTCAGTACTGCACACTGAGAAAGGCTTTTATGGTGTTAATCTAGTTTTAACAGTGCATTAATGCATGAATCTTCATTCTGGTATGTTCAACTAAAAACTCTAGGATGACGAATTCCACAGAACACACAAGGAATCATCATTTATCATTCAAAAGCATTATAAGAGAGGATGGAAAGGAGAGGGGAAACTCGCAGCAACACACTATGCCAAAGCACACACTGCAGTGTCCCTGAACTGAGCGTAGGCCATTTATCAGTAAGAAGCTCAGATCTGACTCCATATCAGCACTACTATACCATATATGTCTACTACATCTTTGAATATTCTATGTTCTTGTTTTTATAATTATTTTCCCTGAAGTCCACTAATGTCACATTCATTTTCCATCTGACTGTTTTCCAACCTCTCTTCATCCCTTCAAATATGGCAGTTTTTCGTTACTCTGGCTTTAAGCTTAAACAACCTCTGTTCTGATTGGCTGCCCTGTGCAGCACCTCGTTCAAAGGCAGTTCAGGAATTGCTACTGTCTGCAGTAACAGCAGTCCATTTCACTGATGCGAACGCACGGACTAAACTGCAGTAAACTGAATGGGTGGTCATGTGTAAATATGTTCATGGTGGTGACCGCTCAGGCGAGCCAGTTGCTATTGCTCAGATCTTGGCTTGTGTCCAAGCAGTACTTGCTACAAAAGTTTGTGACGAATTTAAAATGGGTTGTTTTTGCAGCTTCCACATATGGACTGAATGCAGAGAGGAAATGAACAGCACATCTTGAAACCTTAAGACTGTTTACATACAGGTTTTGAGTCTGATGCAGTATCAAACAAGCAAAGACATTGTGAGTTTCCATGATAAGTTCTTGTTACGGAGCTACTAACTGAGCCAATTACATAAAAAAACAAAATCCAAATGTCAAAGATGATCGCTTTAGCTAAAAGTAGAGGGCTTACTTTAGGGGGAGCCTCGTCTGATCCACCTGAGTCCCAGGACACGGTGACCTGACGTCTCATCTCCATACGCAACCTTTCCTCCTGCTGAGCCTTCTCCTCCTCCAGAATAGTGCTGCAGGGAGAGAGAGAGGAGAGAGAGAGATGAAAGGACTTTTTCGGTAAGCAAAAGCTATTTCAGTAACGGATGGGAGACTACAAAGAGAGTTCTAGCTTCGGTAACTGAATAACGGCAACCTCATCAACATACTCCAAGCTATTACTGGAGTATTTTGACACATAATCAAATATACACAAATGTACAGAACTGTGCAAAAGTCAGAGACCATTTATGTAATAAATGGCATTAATGTAATTTTCAGTCGAATCAGCTGCGAGACCTGTTAGACACCAAAACTGTTCCCATCAGATAAACAGAACTTAAAGCTTTCATCTTTGAGAGAGGAGAAAATCAAACTGCTTCAGATCTGAAAACATCCACAGGTGCTTCTGTCCATCCTTCCGCTGTGAGAAGACGACTCAGCCCGATGGGTCTGAAAGGATGTGTAGCTGTCAAGAAGAACCTCACTGAGAAAAGAAAATTTGCACCAGAACATTGAAACTGGACATCTGGTGAGGAACAGAGTCTAAATTTGTAACTGGGACAACTTGAACCATGGGAAGCGGGAAATGCAACCAACTTCCAACACCAAACTTTGGAGGTGTGGAAAAATATCTCTGCAGTCTCCTGAAAAAAACGTCACATTATAGTTGGCCCTTCTGTGCAATTTTATGTTATACATGCTTATGAAATCTTTTCTGCTTTTTACTGACTTTTGCACAGTACTGTTGTTCATCAGTCAAGACAAATTTGGTGTGTGAAGACTTCTTGTTTAGTTCTGCACTGGAGCTACGAGGCTATTGTAGCAAACAAGTAAGGGAAGTTTACATCTCACCAATTAGCATCGCACAAACAGCACGCCTTAATCACACACTGAGTTGTTAATGTCATACAGACTTGCTTATGTGTTTTGACTCTGTATTGCACATCTATCCACAGAGACAATATTCCCAAAACGTGAGGAAAGGCCGATCCATGTAGTTCCCACATTTCCAATATTTGCCCATCACAGCGTCCTCTTTCTTCACTAGCTGTTTGCCCTACTGTGAAGCAGTCTGCTCTCTTGATAGCAGCTCAGCCCAGTGTTAATAAAGCCCTTCTTGAGTCTGCATGTCCTCCTCCGACGCTCCCTAGCCTCCGGCCCAGACCAGAGCTGCAGCTCCTGGAGCCCAGCCAGAGGTTAACGAAGACAGGCTGTCATCTCCAGAGAGCCTGGGCAGAGCTCCGGCAACGAAACTGTTTATGGAGAACGCATTCCATAATCCTACAATTTACAGATTAACTTTATTGGGACCTGGGGCATTTTAGTGGCTCTCTTATAGATTTTTTTATATTATGGACGTCCTCTTTACCTTCTCAGTCCAAGGACAATGCCCCCAAGCAAATGTGTGAGGATCTAACCAAAAACAGCAACTTCTATTTCTTTTTCTTCTTCTATGTTTACTGCAATCAGGAATGAAGAGAAATGCCACTTTCCAAACAAAGAGCTCTGGTACCGCACTGCCAAACGGCTCTCAGGAATAGAACAGCGACCTCTGGTGTTTAATAGTGAACATAGCCAACCATTCCTCTTCTAATAAAACACAAGGAGATTCATACTATAGAAATAATACATAGATACAAGTCCAACACTGGACCAGACCTTTGAATAAGTGAATTCAGCTACTTCAAGGTGCACATATTGCTGACCCCTTTATTTAAACTGCATACATACAGCTTCAACAGCTCTACATATACAAATCTGTATGTGCTGGTGTACAGTTGTATATGTTTGCTGGACACAGAGAAGCCAGGCTAACCTGAGTTGGGTCTTGAGTTCAGTAAAGCGGGGTCTCTTGCTGGGGTCATACGCCCAGCACTTGGTCATCAGGCTGTAGAGAGTGGGAGGACAGTTGTGGGGCATAGCCAAGCGCTCGCCATTCTCTATCCGCCCAATAACGTCGTTGTTCTTCACGCCCTGGAAGGGCTTAATGCCATACATCAAGATCTCCCACATGCACACACCTGAAAGAGCAAGTGAGCGAAAGAGAGAAAGAGTAAAATATCTTTCATAATGGTAGTCATGGCACCACCAGTACTCCTATCAAGTTAAAGAAGAATATCTAATTAGTCAACTCTAACTTCCATGAGCATATGAAAACACTGAGTAATCTCATTGAGACACTCCACGTAAGGCTTTTCTTTAAAAATACATGGCAGTGCAAAATGTGTTTTGTTTGTAAAATAAGACTTTTTGCGTTTCACAAAGACTGCGTCACATTTCATTCAAAATCCTAATACGGCCAAAGGGTTCATAAACTTTTAAACTCACTACTAAGCTAATTTTAAGACCCCTTCATGTGAAACATAAATAAGAAAAATATATTTTATATCATTAGTCTGCTCTCTCAACATAAGTTACAATTTCTTACACTTACCAAACATCCACACATCACTGGCTGAGGTAAAGCGACGGAAGTTTATGGATTCTGGTGCCATCCATTTGATTGGCAGTTTCCCTTTGGAGGCTGTAAAATTAAAAAATACAGCTTAATTATTTAATTGATGTCAACCAATACTATTTACACACACACACACACACACACACACACACACACACACACACACACATATATATATATATACATATATATATATATATACACCACAATTTAGGGCTGGGATACAGGAAATATAGTGCTATACAGGTTCCCCATTTCCTTTGGCCAATTAACACCAGTACATTAATTAAAAATCAGGCTGAGATGTTTCACTTTCTGTTTTATTAGACTTAATAGCCTATATGTAATCTGACCAGACCGCATACTTTGACTGATTGTATGTACAATGAGAAGCCGTCTGGCTGTAACTATCAAATAAAGTAAAAAATAATTTCTGATTCACTTCGAAGTTTTTAGTTTACCTCAGGAATATAATGCAGTAAAGAAAATTTAAACTTGATTAACTACTGTTGTTGAATTTATCAGTGAATTCATATGGTTTGGAGACTGTGAATATATGGTTTACTGTCTTTAGAGATCTGTCATTTCGAGCATTATAGTGGTGCAACATTACTATGGACTACCAGAGGGCGCTACATCCTCAAAGCAAAAACTGTCGGTCTAATATTAAGAATGGGATAGTTTTTGATTGACCTACACTTGGTAGACTTGATGTTGGTGGATGTATTACCTTTGTAATAGGAGCTGTCCTCCATGTACCTGGAGAGTCCAAAGTCTCCAAGTTTCACACAGTCTGTGGAAGACACTAAGACATTCCTGGCAGCAATGTCCCTGCAGAAAACATACATAGAGACAAACATGAATAAAAGCACCTGATTTCACACTGAAATATGAAATCTGTGATTCTGAATGTTGAAGGTGAAGCAGTTTATTCTTCAGAGATTGCGTTTATTTTCACCTGTGCACAAATCTCTTGCTCTCCAGGTACGCCAAGGCTGTGCTCAACTGGTAGGCAAACAGAATCAGTGATGCCAGGTCCAGGTTGTATTTTCTTACTTGTAAGAACGACCTCAACTAAGAGAACAAAAATAAAAACAACAAAGAAATTTGAAATGTTAACAACGCCAAGAGACTGACAATGTAGACACAGACTGACAATTCATAAATCACATAACAGGTAAACATAAAGTACTGCGCTAAAGTCTGAGATCACCCTTCATTTATTTAATTTCCAGTCATAAAAAACAAGTTATTTATTTTTCAGCATTACGAAAAAAGCAGAAATCAAGTATTTAACAGAAAATTACATCATCATCATCATCATCACTTGTATTTATATATCAGCTTTCTCATGCTCAAGGACGCTTCACAATCAAGAATTATCAACACATTAAACATCAACACATTAAACAAGAGGACAATACAGGTAAACATGCTAGTATAAACGGAACAACGATAACACAGTGAAAACAAGTAAGTAAGATTTAAATGAAGATAGAGAGGCTGCATCCCGCATAGACTGGGGGAGAGTGTTCCACAATTTGGGGGCTACTACTCTAAATTATCCATCACCCATAGAAGTCAATTTAAACCTTGGAACATGATCATGTTTTCAGAATGTAGTGTGTCTACCCTTTTGTTTTATTGCAGTCTTCATTCTTTTCAGGAGGCTTGCTTTCAGTGTTTCAAACAAATCTGCAGGGATATTTTTCCACACCTCCAAAGTTCAGTCTTAGAGGCTGGTTGCTTTTTTTTGTTTCTCACAATCCAGGTAATTCCAGACACACCTCTTTTTTCTGTATCTTTCAATCAACTCCAGTTAAGAAATCTTCTGTTGTTAAGCTTATTTTCCTTTGCCTTTAACCTTCCTTATGTGGATTATTTAATACCTAATATCCTCAGAAACCGCTCCTGAATAAATCACTTATACTTAATGGCCTTTTTGATAGAAAATGAAATAAATGAAGGGTGGCATCTGATTTTTTGCACAGTACTGTGTGTGCCAGTCAAAATTTAGCCAATGAAACGGTGTCTCACCTCGCCCAATGTGCAGAGCTCCATGATGATCCAGACTGGGTTCTCTGTGATTACACCAATCAGCTTCACAATGTGAGGATGGTCAAACTGCCGCATCGTCACTGTGACACGTGAATATTGAGATTGATTAGATACTCTCATTAACTCTTTTCTATGCATCCATCATTAACTCATATATGTACCTCTGTTTGCTTCAAATGAATATTTTAACAAAACAAAATTACTGTTATTTAAATGTAACATTTGGTGTCTGAGGTTTGGTTCTTTAGTTTTGCACTGAATTCATGAGATTAATGATCTCTAATAGACTTGTTTATGTGGTTTTTGACACTGTATGACATACTGTTATTTACAAACATGGACAAAAGTATGAACATAGTTTAGGCTTCTACTTCATGCTATGAGTGTTTTTAGCTATGAGATGTACTTTTGTCCATTTTTTGTCCATGACAAGCAAGTCTATTTGAGATTACTTAACAAATCGAGGGTGTGATGATTCAGGCATGTAGTGTGCACAATTCTGACTTCTGGGGTTTAACCTTCCACTTCTTAGCCTTGTAGCTCCAGCAAAAAAAGAAAAGCAAACATCAGACACCATAAATGTTCTAAACCACCTCCTTGTTTCTACACTTATTGTGCATTTTATCAGCTCCACTTACTACATAGGTGCACTTTGTAGTTCTACAGTTACAGACTGTAGTCCATCTGTTTCTCTGCATACTTTGTTAGCCACCTTTTACCCTGTTCTTCAGTGGTCAGGACCCCCACAGGTCCACCACAGAGCAGGTACGAGTTGATCAGACACAGCAGTGCTGCTGCAGTTTTTAAACACCTCAGTGTCACTGCTGGACTGAGAACCAAAAATATCCAGCCGACAGCGTCCTGTGGGCAGCGTCCTGTGGGCAGCGTCCTGTGACCACTGATGAAGGACTAGAGGATGACCAACACAAACTGTGCAGCAGCAGATGAGCTATCGTCCCTGATTTTACATCTACAAGGTGGACTGACAAGGTAGGAGTGTCTAACAGAGTGGACAGTGAGTGGACACAGTGTTTAAAAACTGCTGTGTCTGATCCACTCGCACCAGCGCAACACACACTAACATGCCATCATTACGTCAGTGTTACTGCAGTGCATGTCGCCTGCGAAAGTTCGCAAAAATCCAACAGGGAACGAATAAAATGTCATATTTTCGGCATCCTGAAGCATGTTTGGTATGTAAGAGTAGTTTTTATGAAATCCTGCTAATAATCATATTTTTATAACTTCACTGTAACAAAATATGTTTTTACATCCTGATTACAAAACACTGTTACATGTATTCTGTTTCTGCTGACAGACAATAGTTATGGACCACAGTGAGCAAACACTGACTGCACCATTCACTCCATACTCACAAGCTTCCTGCAGGAACTTCTCCCGCACACTGTCTGAGGTGCAATTCTTGCATGTTTTAATGGCCACGGATAGAGCGGGATTCTCCTGCAAATCAGAGAGTGCACAAACCATTCAATCACATGCTTATGTCCACTCTCGATGGACCGCTTCAACAACAAACCACTGAAATGTGAGTGGATGTCCCAAGAAACATAAATGTTGCTTTCAAAATGAAACATTCGGTCCCCAAAATGGTAAGCAGACAGGAAATGTTCTTGACTTTAATGTACGTTAATGTAATTTTGAACCACTTTCACTGATCCGTTTGTCATTAACTGTTTAGACAATGTAAAGTGAAGATGGCTCAATCAAATGGTGTTAGAAATGAAAGCTACATGAAAAGTCTACTGCTCTTTTTGTTACTTGAGAAATATTTATAAATATCAAGCACCAACAATTCAACAAGTTAAAGAAGTATTCCACTCACAGCTTGTCGTTAGAAAGTGAATGCCACCAAAAACAGTAACAATAAACTTAATTTTCAATGTAAAAGTATGATTTGCTTATATAATCCACCGTTTACTTCTACAGAGAAGTTTTTGTAAGTTATGCAGCACAGCCACAGCTTTGTTTTGCAGTCAGGACATTTACACTGAAATTTCAGCCTTGGCTTACTGTCTTTCTGGCGCCATTCACTTCCTCCAAACTTGCTCAAAATTATTATGACGATAATTATGGGTTGAAACCTTCTTTAAATACCGTCTCAAAAATGAAGCGGTGTAGTGAACGGCAAAGGCTTTAACAGTGTGGTCAGTCTGTTCTGATTAGGAATGTTTTTAGGGGAGGTTTTGAGAGAGAGATGCTTACTGGGCTGGCGTAGATCCCCTGATGGACGTCTCCAAACTGACCTTCTCCGATGCAGCGGCCTAGCTCGATCCGCTCACGCTGGATCTCATAATCCCTAGCTGCACACAAATAAAGAAAACAGAGCGATGCACTTCTGTAAGTAAGCAGCCGTTACTGCGAATGGAACAGCTTAATTCAGTTTAATGGACACTACTTCCAACATGCTTGCACTAAACTTCATGCTAACCAAAAAAAGATTCGGTTATAATCAGCAAATGCATTCTACAGCTTGATTACGCGAAGTTGCAAATTCATGACTTATTCAGATTTTGAGCTGCTACTTTCATTTCTAGTTATGAGTTATGCACGATCTTAACTTCTTACTTCCTGATATAGAAGTGCAGTGAATATCTGTATCAGCCAAAATCATGCCGAGTGACCAATACACCATCACAAAAATGAACCAAACGTACAGGAGGTGGACAAAACAATGGAAACACTGCACTAAATACTCACTCATTTTATCAATGACCACATAGGTGCCCTTTGTAGACATACAATTACAGACTACAGCCCATCTGCTGATGCACAATTTTAGCCCACTCATCAGTAGAAAGGGACCATCTAAGATCATCCTCAACACAGCAGTGACACTGTGTGTGTGGTGCTGGTACGAGTGTATCAGACAGTGTTGCTGGGGATATTTAAACAGCTCAATGTCACTGACAGATTTATTTAAATGCAGATGACGTTTGAGCACAGCTATTAACTATTAACTGTCTGAAAAGAGTTTTGTTTGGCTGATTCCTCAGTTATTTCCCTCATCGGTTCAACAGACTCTAGAACGTTCTAAAGTTAGTAGTGCAGTGCTGCTGCTAACTCCAAATATAGCTGTGCGCTGTTCTGATTATGGACCTAGACTGCACAATATAGAGATCTACACTGTTCCTAGATAGAAACCACAAAGACAGATAGACAAAGACTGAGAGAGTTTTACGCTACATATGAGCATTACCACTAAAACGCACACAGCTGGTGTGATCGGCTACGCTGATTAGCACAGAAATGTACTGCACATTGTGTGGCGTGGCACATCTAGAGGTTATGTCTGCTGTAAAGTTAATTTTTATTCACTTTTTATCCGCCAGCGTCATATCCTAATTTTCAATAGACTCTTTTTTTGTCTGTATTTACTCAATTGTATATTAATTGTAAAATCTTATCCTCTGCTCATGCTGCTCTTGATGTGTTATGGTTTTGCTATTTGGTGTCGACCAGGATGGAGGATGGGTTCCCATCTTCTCTCAGAGTTTCGTCCTCCTGCTCTTAGGGAGTTTTTTTCCAATGATGGATGGGCTACAGTCTGTAACCGTAAACCTACTGTAGGTGTATCTGATAAAATGGCCACTGAGCATGAGCACGTAATGTGGTGTTTCCATTATTTTGTCCACCCTCTGAAAATATCAGTCAAAACAAATTTCAAACATAAAAATCTCTCTTATATTATCTCTTAGTTGGACGAGTCCAAGCCATGACCCTAGCTCTATCGCAACACACCACAGGCAGGCAGCACGAGCACAAGAACAAAGGGGAATAAAGAAAGGAAGGAAGGAAGAAAGAAAATGACAGAAAAACATGAGAAGTAAGGTTACCTTCGTCTAATCCATAGCACTCGGCTGGGTGATTAAGAAAGGGAGAAAACCGAGAGAGCTGAATTTTAGAATTAGACACAGACAGCATGAAGGAGACAGAATAAAAGAGAATGACAGAAGAGACGCCCAGCAGGCCCTGCTGGAGTTAACACGGAACTGGTCAAATGATGAGAATAAACATCAGTCTGGAGAGGTTTAGAAGAGTCACTCATCACACTGACTTTGTCAGAGTATATTACAGTGCAAGTCAAAAGTTTGGGCACACCTGCTCACATAGGTTTCATGTAATTTTACTATTTTCCAAAGTTTAGGATAAGAGTAAAGACTTGCGGCGTTCTCTCAGGCATGATTCATTAAAAACAGATTTTTTTGAACTTTCCTTGCTTTTTTTAATGAAACAGTTTGATGTAGTATGTAAACAAAGCTAATGTTTCATAATATACCGTTCACTCTCCGGTCTATGCAGCCCGTCTATAGAAACCAGGATGCAAAAACAGACTGTTTTTAATTGAGTTTTTGTGATGTCAGGAAATGCATTTAAATAAATGCACATATTCAGCCTACAGCATTTTAGGCCTGCTCACTCCTACTGATGTTATAAAGAGTGTCAGCCCAAACTGCACAATAACGTTCAACATTTACATACAGAGGTCATTTACATATATGAGTCTTAAAGGCACAGTAACAAACCACAAACATAACACCTCAAAAAAAAAAAGTAGAACATGGGCTCTGACCTGAACCCTGACCTTCTTACAACAGCTTCAACGTGTTCTATTTAACACATTTTCTTCTTTGAATATTAACTTACAAATCGTGCAGACTAAGGCCCAGTCCCATTTCAGCCCTCGCCCCTACCACTTAGCCCTTAGCCCTCTGTTTTGTGCGTTCACGTCTAGGAGTAGGGTGTCCCAGATTTTGTTGAGATAGAGGGGTAGGGTGAAGTGTTAGGGCTACATGGCCCTCCAAACAGAGGTTTTTCAGAGACTCACTCCAAACGGAGAGTTATGAGAAAAAAAGACAAGATGGCTACGTGAGCGACCAAAGAAACCCACGAATGTGAGAATTTTCTCCATTAAAAATTACAATAATCATCGTATTATCTTAGTTTACTGTCATTTTAATGTATTATGGTTGTTTTCTTCATAACAAGCATAAAAAATCGCTAATAGCATGCTAATGTCTTGGTAGCTAGCTAGCTAACTTTCCTGTTCCACCTTAAATAGTCCAGCAGTTCTGATGCCTGAAGCGCCAGAATGTAACTGCTGCACCATTTAAGGTAGGGTGGGAAAATTCAAACAAGAACCTGGTGAATATCTGACTTCAGCTTTGTTTCACCAGAGAATCAGGGGTGGGAGATAATAAATAATTGTCTTTTAGCCCCTCTTTGAAAGCATAGGATTCCCTAAATGTAACTAAAGCCCAGCAGTGAGGGGCTGAACTTGGGGGAGCAGGGAGGAACTGATCACAGAAGACGGGTTGGGTCGCCTACAGAGCAGCACTAGTAGCTGTTAATGAAGCAATATATATATTTTTTTCAATTTGAGGGTTGTCCCATTTCATAGGGCAAGATTTCAACCACTACCACTTGTAACTCATTTCCAAGGGGTTAGGGTGACACTTGAAAACAAGGGGTAGGGGTAAAAAGAAGAAATAGGATTGGGTCTAAATCATAATTTTTCTTTGTTTTAAATGAAAATCTGTTGTTTATTTCAAGGTTTAAATGACCCCACTGTATGTGTAAATGACCCCTGTTCTGAAATGTGCTTCATTTAAAAAGCAGTCCTCTCCTTATAACTTCAGCATTAATGGGCGGGGCTAAACTGATATGTTTGTTTTTGTGACATCACAGAAATGAAGGATTCAAAATGGGCTCTTTCAGCAGAGACCATATGGATTAGGGAGTGAACATGTTTAAAACATTAACAGTGTTTACACCTTAAAGCAAACTCTTATTTCAAAAAAGCCACAATATGAGCCCTTTAAACATTCTGACTTAGAAATAAATTCAGGTGTCCAGTTCATGATTTATATTTGTCAAATATATTTCAAGATCAAAATGACTTCAGCATTATAATCAATCAGGTGTGTCCAAATACTTAGCTGTTACTGTTATGTAGCAGATGATTGAGGTATTCAGGGCAGGCATTTGAAATGAATGGCTGTGTAGGCAGTGTTGGGTGTTATCCAAGCAATGTAAATGACAGCCAAGAAATTAGTTATTCAAATTAAACAGCAATTACAGACATAAATAAAATCCCTGCCTCAAGTATGGCATTTCTGTAAATCAGTGTTGGAATGTGTGTGTGTGTTTGTGTGTGCGTGTTTGTGTGTGTTTGTGTGTGTTTGTGTGTGTGTGTGTGTGTGCGTGTTTGTGTGTGTGTGTGTGTGTGTGTGTGTTTGTGGCCACAAGTACCACAGAAACTGCTAGAATGTGTGACAGAAACTGACTCAGATCCATTTCACAGGCGATTCAACTGAAATACTCACACACAAGAAAACACAGACATGGTCAGCTGGGCTGCACGCTGTGTCCTGTGATGTGACTGCAGCTCTATTCAGTGCACAAGCTCTTTGTGTCTCAGACTCATATGAGGCCACGAGATCGGAGAATTTGAGCCCTTCAGGCACTGACTCGCCCTCTAACACTCCAAATGCCCCTTCAACAGCTTCCCGCCATCCACCACACAGCCCGCTAACACATACAGTGCTGTGCAAAAGTCAGAGACCCCTATTCGTTCATGTCATTTCCAGTCAAAACAGCCATTAAGTACAAGTTATTCATTTTCAGGAGATATTTATAATATTCCCTTTGCATAAGGAAGAAAACAAGAGGAAAATAAGTGGAAAAAAACAAGAGTTTCCAAAAGTGGAGTTCAAAAAACAATTAAAAGCTACAGAAAAAAAGGGACTCTTAGCAACTGCCTGCAGCTACCTTGCAGACCACCGAAACTGTCCCCATCAGATAAACAGCACTTAAAGCCTTTATCGTTGAGAGAGAGGAGAAAATCAAGCTCCACTCTTGCGACTCTTGTGCATAAAGTCAAAGGAAAATCATTTGAGAAACAAGATTTTCCAAAACTAAAGTTCAGAAAACAGGATATGTAACAACCGTATAAGACATGGTAGACCACCAAACTGTCCCCTCAGATAAACAGCACTTAAAGCTCTCCTCTCAAAGAGGGGAAAATGGAGCTGCTTCAGATCTGAAACATCCACATCCATCCTTCCACTGTGAGAAGAAAACTCAGCGCTACGGGTCTGAAAGGGGGTGTAGCTGTCAAGAAGAACCTCACTGAGAAAAGGAAATTTGCACTAAAACAGCACATCTGGTGAGGAGGTTTTATTGACTAATGAATCTAAATTTGTAACTGGGATTTTTAGATCATGAGAAGCAAAAAATACAACTTCTGAGACTGAACTTTGGAGGTGTGGAAAAATATCCCGGCAGATTTCATTAAAAACACTGAAAGTGAGTCTCCTGAAAAGAATGGAACCTGTAATAAAGTTAAAGCGTGGACACAATAAATACTGAAAAAAACTGTATATTTAGTTGCTGAGGCTTCTGATTTTTTCCTGACGCTGAAAAATGAATAAATCATTTAATGGCCTTATTGTACTTAATGGTTGTTTTGTCTGTTAAATAAAACGTCTTTAACTTTTGCACAATGATGTTCAAAAGTGTGAGCACACTTGTTCATAAATTTTCCTTAACTGTATTGTTTTCTACATTTCAGAATAATATTGACGTCAAAGCTATGCAATACCACATACAGAATGAGAATAATCAGAAATATTGGACTTCTACCAAGCATTTAGACTCATCATACCTCAACAAAGTTGGCTGACGCAAACACATTAACCAAGACACACATTCCAGTAATTAACTTTTAATTATGGCACACACAGTAATTAGAATGATTTAACGACTGTGGTTTAGCATTTACCACTTCTTTGCTAAATTTCTAAACGAAATCTACTTTTTTCATTTTATTTTAATGTGTAGGTTTGGAAGTAAATTCACACAAAGGCAAAAGTCTTTAGATAAAAATCTTTTTAAGATGAAAACATTCAATCAGATGTCCAGACTTTGGACTGGTAATAGAAACACATCACAATTAGCAAGTCATGGTTGCTGCATGCAGGGCTGTAATAAAACTTCTAGGTCCATATTTACAAAGAGACTCAGTGGTTAAGGTTCTAATCTAGTAAGAGCTCATTCTCCACCTACGTGACTGCATTAAATATAATGTAAAAAAGGACTGATCCTGGAACAGCACTCTCATTCTGAGAAAGAGTTCTTTAACCATGAATATGCTTAAAATATACCAAATATGTCATATTAACAACAACAACACAGTGTAAGATGGGTATTTTCAGTCTGGTCATATTTTCGGTAGAGGTGGGCAATATGACGAAATGTCACCATGTATGTCATGAATTATGTCACTATACATGTTTCTGAGATGGTTTAGCACTTCTTGAACAACAGACAACTGCATGCATCATAAAACAGACAGATTTTGACCAATTACAATTACAGTAAAACAACAATAATCAGTGGATAGTAACTCAGTTTGCATGTGTCAGTAATGTTTTGCTGATGCATTTTGTCCCTTTTGATGTGTTTGCAAACCTCATAAACTAAATATCAAAAAATATGTCATGTATTGTGATTTTACATTTTAGCCATATCGCCCACCCCTACTTTCCGTCCATCCATCCATCCACCATCTAAACCGCTTATCCTTCTGGGTCGCGGTGGGGTGCTGGAGCCTATCCCAGCTGTCATTGGGCAGAAGGCAGGATCCCTACTTTCCAATATGGTCTAATTCAGCTTTGTAGGTCAATATTTTACTTTGTAGGCCATTAAATCTTTATCTGACTATTCAACGTCACATAAATAACTGCGATGTTTTTTTTTTCCATTTGTTTACTGTAAGCAACTCATAAATGACCTAAACTGGCCAAAGAGGCTGATTAGCTACCTCCTAGCTGCCCATTAACTATAGTATCTAACTGATAAACAGCTCAAGCTCAAATAAACAAACATGACTCACCACTGCCCTCTAAAGGTGTTACAGCACCAGTCATTAGTTAAAACTTTCATTGCTTTCATAAAACCCACAGCACTTCTCAATATACATGTTCTGCTTTCTTTGATTTACATGTATTTGCCTCAATCCAACTGATGAAAACGCAGCCCATTCACATTCTGTTAGCTGTGACGTAAACATGACTGTGAAGCGAACAACAGTGGAAATTAATAGGGACCAGCTCAAATAATTGTGACAATAAATGTGATGCAATAGATGTAAAGAGGATTTTTTTTCCGAATTCATACCTAAGGTGATCGTTTAGATGTAGACAAAGTAATTCAGAGTGGTTTGATGTGAAATTCTGCATTAGATTCCTCAGATTTCTTTACATTGACAGTGACAGGAACCAGGTGCCTTGATGTCTTCTCAAGTAGTCATTTCATTTACCATTTCATCCAAAACAACCAGTAAACTAGGCCACAATCTTCTCAAAACTATTGTAAAATCTCTATTTGTAATATTTGTAATTATTCCATGTAAAAGCTTATAAAGTAGGTTTTAGAGCCATTAAAGTCTTCGAATGCTGGGTTCCTATTACTACCACTGTGAACAACTACGTACGTTCTGTAGAATTAGTAAAATTCTTTAGAATTGAGTGTTTTACATCACACCACTCTGAATAACTTAAAGATTTATTTATGCAGAAACTTTGAAAAATCGGTGGAACTCCCCTTTAAAGCCACGCACACATAAATAAGCCTGTACTCCAACCAGTTTGAAGCTTTTTCAAGCCTACTACACGATTCCTAACTGTGCTTGCAGAGAGGCTGAGCAAGTGCTTTGGTATTTGACAGCTGGATACTTTAACGTTCTCTGGCTGCCACATGCACAAACCAAACAAGCCAGGCTGGAGGAAAAAGGGGTCGGGACTGGGCTCATGGAGTCGGAGCCGGAGTTTTGGAGCGAGACAGAAACATCTGTGTCCCAGGAGAGTCTGAACAGCAGAGAGCAAGATGCTCACACATACAGTGTAAGTGAGTGAGAAGTACTTACTGGAGGGCATGGTGTAGGTATCCTCCTCATCTATGATCTCCGCATAGTCGTCCGTCTCTGTGGGGAGACAACAGGCAGTGAGTGGTCAGCACGAGCGGAAGGTCAGAACTACGTCAAGCCTGACTCTACAACTGTCTAAAACAAGCAACCACCCGAGTTTACCGATCCACTGCACAAACTAGGTCCAAAAACGAAAATAAACACGTGAGTCAGTATGGAAACTTCCGCACCAACACCCCCACACGACTGGACGCACTGACAGAAAGCGCTAAACCACACACAAAAACCGAGCAGCAGCTTCTCTCTCTCTCCACTCTCTCCACACAGACTCCTCACTCACTCGTGCGTGGTGTGTATCTGTCTGCTCGCCGGGCCAATCAAGGAGCAGCGTGAGGGAGGAGAAAGGGAAGGAAGTGACTCCTCTGTTCCTCTCTATCTCTCTCTCTCCCTCCTTCTCAGGAAGATACAGATTTAGCTATCTGTGCTTGGAGTGGTTACTTGCTGATTTTTTTCCCTAAGAGGCAAGGACTAGCCCTTTAAAAGAGGAATGCATTTGGGGGGGGGGAGAGAGAGAGAGAGAGAGAGAGAGAGAGAGAGAGGGAGAGGGAGAGGGAGAGAGAGACTGAGAAGCACTGAGACACGAAAAGAGACAGAGTGAGAGCGACAGATGAAAAGGGTGAGAGACAGAAACACACAGAAAGAAGCACTGAGACAGAGAGAAACAGGGAGCGAGACAGAGAAAGACAGAAAGTGACAGAATGAGAGAGAGAAAAAGAGTGTGAGAAAAAAGAGACAGAGAAACAGAAAGTCTGAGAGACACAGAGAGTGAGATAGTGAGAGTGAGACAGAAAGAGAATGAGAGAAATAGTGAGAAATAAGAGAGACAGAGACAGCCAGACAGAGAGAAACAGAAAAAGAGAGAAACGGAGAGAGACTGCAGAGAAAGAGTGAGAGAGACAGACAGCGAAACAGAGGAGAGACAAACAGACAAAAAGAGAGGGAGACTACAGAGAAAAAGAAAGTGAGTGAGACAGAAAGAAAAAAGCGACAGAGAGACAGAGAGTGAAAATAAGAGGGAGAGAGATTTATAGAGTGAGAGAGAGAGAGACAGATGTGCAGAGGGAGAAAGAGCAGCATTTAGCTAAACTTTAGCTTTTTTTTGAAGATGGTGGGAACTGGTTTTAAAGCGAGAACCGTTTTAAGGGAGATCTGGTGTTAAAGTGGTAGTTCAGTTCCACGGAGGTCCATAGGTGAGGCTGTGTGGGCAGTGTGGAGAGTTGTACCACAAACCACTGGACACAGCACTATTAGACACTTAGCATTTCAGCAAAATGAAAGGAAAAAACATGCAAGTCTATAACTTTATATAGTACCAGTCAAAAGTTTGGACACACTGACCCTTAGCAGAGTTTTCCTTAATTTTACAGTTTTCCACATTTTAGTTTAACAGAGACCAACATCTGTTTAAGATTCTTTACAGTTCTGTCCCCCTTCTGTCCCCATGTAGCTTTACAAAGTTTTACTATTCTTTCGATGCATCATCTATACTGGTACACTGTGATATGATATAATCCTGGTGTAGCATCCATAATGTCTCTGATGTCATGAGTATCCAGGACCTGACAGTTAACTGCAGTCCATGTTATTTGCTGGGAGCTTTAGATTGTTTTGAAAGCACATATTTAAGTTTACGCAAAATAAAAAACAGACTACCTTCTGCTGTTTGCAGCACGATCAAAACAAGTGACATCATCTCAATGCTTCTAAGACGCTGCAGCACTCAGAAAGAATCAGCTCAAATTTATTAAAGCAAATATGTTTGGAAAATAGATGCAATATTGAATTTTATCAACTAAAGACCTTCACTACTTAGTCAAATGCAAAAGTTTGGGCACCCCAGTCAAATAACGTTTTAGGTAAGAAGTTTTTTTGCTTAATTTAACATACTGGACAAAAAAAGAAAACATAAAATACGGTCTGTGCAAAAGTTTTGGCACATTTTACACTTTATTTTTTTCTCAACATGTTCAGATCATCAAAAAAAAAAAAATTGAAATTTGCAACTGCTATATCTAAGTTTGTTCTGTGTAAAGGATGTGTTAACTTAACTCTAACTTTTGTGTTAGAAAAGATATTTGACGGCATTTATTGTACCCCAGAAGAACAAAATGTTTAGGCGACACGGTTTTACTACACTAAAATATGTTTATTTTATTTTTTACATTTGTTATCCTACATAATAAATATATTATATTATATATATTACATAATATGTGTGTGTGTGTATATATATATATATATATATATATATATATATATATATATATATATATATATATATATATATATATATAAAATAGATGTTACATTAATCCACAATGCTAGAGAATGTAGATTTGTATATTCTATAAATGTATGATAATTTATCATCGACAGTACATGAAAAATATCGGATATTGACATCAGCTCACATTTCCCACCTCTGTGCATCCCTACTATTTATAATCATATGAAAATTTTAGTGCACAATTTCTATGGCACAAAATCTGTTTACTGAATTTAAGATAGGATAAAAAATAAAATAAGACGTATTAAATGTACTATAAACTTTGTACAAGCCACACTGTATGTTTTATTGTCCCCCCAGTATGTTAAACTTTGCAAATAAACAGTAATTGTGCGTTAAATATGTGCATTAAAAGTGTGTTCTCTGCAGATATTATTTCCACTTCAAAAAAATCAGCAAAATGAGTCATTTGAGCATCGGTAGCCAAAATTCACATATTATTCTATATTTGACTTTGAAACAAATTTCAAACATTTTAACATGAGTGTTTAGATCAAATTGTTATGAAAAACCTATAGTGAATCAGGTGTAAGCAAACTTTGGGCTGGTACTGTAAGGAAAGAAAGTAATAAAACATCAAACAAGCATCCACAGAAACACAACACAGATCTACTAACTAGCCTATAACAGACAGAGGACAGTTCTACTCTACACTGCTGATTTGTCCCACCCAGCAGCCCCAGTGTGTTAGTGGAGAAAACAGCGCGCAAAGTGAAAACAGATTAAAAGCCAAACTTTACCATCCCCACTAACATCTTCTGCAGGTCCGAGGAGAGCATGCAAAGAGAGGAGACACGGAGAGGAGAGAGGAAACGAGAGAGGAGAGGTTACTGCACCAAAAGACCTTCAAGTACACAAGAACCTCAACATGAAGGTTACTCAGGCCAAACAATACAGACAAAATATCATATTGTGAGTACACTGTTGTGTGTTGCACTTTCTATTTGCCTGTGTAAAAGTCAGATCATTCTTCATTGATTTAATTTCACATTAAACCAGCTATTAAGTACAAGTTATTCATTTTTCAGCATCAGGAAAAGCATAATAATATCAGCTCTTCTCAGTTTTTACCGTGTCCACCCTTTACCTTTATTACAGCTTCCATTCTTTTCAGGAGACTCACTTTCAGTATTTTTATAGAAATCTACAAATCAATTTTCCACACCTCCAAAGTTCTTAGACGTTGGCTGAACTTTCTACTTTTTATGATTTAAAGTAATAAAACCCCACATTTCAGATGTCCAGCTACAGCTCTCTGTCCTGTTCTTAGTGAGGCTTCTTGACAGCGTCACATCCACCCAGACCCATAGCACTGAGTTGTCTTCTCACAGTGGAAGGATGGATGTGGATGTTTCAGATCTGAAGCAGCTTGATTTTCTCCTCTCTCTCAAAGATGAAAGCTTTAAGTGCTGTTTAATTGATGGGGGCAGTTTTAATGGTCTACCAGGTTTTGTACAGCTGTGAGGAGTCTCATTATTTAAGCCCTAGTCTTGTAAGCTCAATGCAAAAGGTTCATTTTACATCGAATCTATTCAGAAATTTCTCCTAAAACACGAATAACTTGTACATAAATAAATGAAGGGTGGTCTCTGACTTTTGCACAGCACTGTATATTATTTACACAGTCAATCATTCATGTGACATCGTTAAAAATGGTCCTGTATTATTTTTGAACAAAATAATTTGTTATGAAAACATGCAAATGCCTTGATTCACCCCAACAATGAAAGATCATCAGTGATTGGCCAGGATTCTCACAACACATAATAAAACAGTCAGTGATTGGTTACAAGCTTATTTGCATATTGTGAACCTCTGTAATATCAGCATCACAAAAATGACCAACAAACAATGTACTGTGCAGCCCTAACGATCACGGACGCTTCCAGCTCCAAAGCTGGGAGATGGTACTGAAATAAAGAGAGAAATTTCCCACATGAATATTTCTGTAAGTCATTAAGCAGCCGGGGGTGGATCAAGTTAAAACGGCTGTTGGTGGAATGTGTGTGGGAGTTGATTGAATCTGGACCTGGAGACGGTCATGATTCTCCTGCCAGCATTGTTCCACTCCTAGTCCACACACCTGGGGCGCGCTCGCGCGGCAGAACGTTACGCTTTAAAATTCCCAGATTTCTTCACCAATTTTAGCTCTTTCCAAAGGAATGTGATGATGCTGAGGGATCCAGAGAGGATTCCACCGGGTTTAAAGCCTGTGAAGGGTGTGGCCATTTAGAAACACTTTAGAGACCAAACTCAATTACTGTCAAATTTAGCACCATTTATGTTTTCTGTTCACACAGCAGTGCAGGCATCTTGGCCAGGAGATGGAGATGTGCAGTAGCCAGGTGTTTGAGACTGAATGAATGGCCAAAGGACACCTAGTAAGTGAAAGAGTCTAAACTGACCCATTAAATATCCAAAAGTCTGCTCATCCAGTGTTTTTTTTTTCTGAAATCCAGGGCATTAATAAGGAGTTTGTCCTCCTTTGCTGCTTCTACTCCTTTGGGAAGGCTTTGCACTAGATGTTGGAACATTGCTGTGAGGATATGACTGCATTCAGCCATGAGAGCACTAGCGAGGTCAGGCACTGATGTTGGACGATTCTGGATCACAAATGCCACTTGAACTCATCCCAAGAGTATTCCAGGCTTTAAAGCTCCTCAGTACCTCAGCACCATGGTTTAGGACTACACACCTGCACACCAGCTTAAGTGTTCTGGGCTACTGACTAGTCCTTCCTTAAAATGCAAACATGCCCAAAAGGCTAGGTCTCGCTGCTGTAAAGTCCTTGCCCCTGAACTCCACACTGCATGTACTCCACTGTGGCCTGAAGGCTCTAATCCAAGTTAACACCTCATTGCGCTCGTTCATACTTCATCTCTGAATCACTACGTCATTCAACTTCAATCCTCTGTGTTTTATTGGTTTATTTAAAAAATGCACTTAAGTCATACTTCTTAATGTCTAACTAGATCAAGTTACATTGTGACTTGTTTCTCTTATAGATTCTTGTGGTATCTCTTGGTTCTTTGCATCACTTTGGGTTCTACAGTTTGCACATGTTGTAATCACTCTGGATTAGAGCGTCTGCTGAATGTTTTGGATGGTGCTCCAGAGCGCTGTTTTACTGCTCCACAGTCCAACGCTGGGTGGCTTTATACCCCACTTTGGCCAGCACTTGGCATTGGGCATGGTGACCTTAGGCTCATGTGTAGCTGCTCCAGAGCATCCTATTCCATTGGTCAGTGCTTTTCTATGGATATTATACAAGCTGTGTGTTCATGCAAACTGAACAGCAGCAACGGAGGAACCTTAAAGGGGAATTCCACCCATTTTTCAAAATGTCTGCGTAATTAAAGGGGTTAAAATGTAAATAGAGTCATTCTGAGTGGTTTGGTGTGAAATACTCCATTCCAAAAAACTTACTGAGTCAAAATTGTTCACAGTGGGGGGTGGCAGGAACCAAATATCTTACTTTATGATACTTTTACATTATTTTTGGCCTAAAATGTTGGTTTAAAAAAAAATTACATTCATCATGGAGCGATAAATGCAGGCAAAGTAGCCCCCAAAGAAAACTTATGTTTTCAGGTTTACCATTACCAACATTACATATAAAAACTCATATTATACATGTGTAGCTTCACTGATCATTTTGGATAGTAAATAAAATGGCCATATTTGTGTTGGAGACATGGCAACCCCTGGTTCCTATCACCACCACTGTAAATGAAATCAGAGTTGTTAAGTTTCACTTCAATGAACATTTTCACATCAAAACACTCTTTAACGACTTTGTTTACATCTCAGCAATTGAATTATGTAGAAATGTTTAAGGAACTGGTGGAATTCCTCTTTAAAGTAGCTAAAGTCACGAATTAGAAGGGGTGTCTGGACATTTTTGGACACTGGACACAGTGTACCAAAAGAACACCACAAAGGTTGAAATGAAGTCATCTCACCTGATTTTGATGGTTCATTTAAGATGTTTTGTAGATGATTACCTTGTCTTTAATTTATTTTTTAACTAATTAACTATTACATTTAACTGAACCTTCCCTTAACCAAACAAACCAAAACCTAAACCTAACTCTAAACTTGGTCCTAAGCCTAACCCTAATGCTGTTCATAAGCAACTGAATTTCACTTGTTCACTACAGCACAGATAACAGATCAGCCATAGAGGACTATCAAAATTAAGTGTGACCACAAATGTCCAAAAAATGTGGTCACTACCAGCTACCAATGAGACGACGCTAAGTGAAGTGTTGACGTGGCCTCTAGGCCTCCAGCGCTCTGGCTCCAGCCACCCTCCAGAAGCCTCTCCAGCTGATTTGTGGCAACAGCAGCCCGGCTACAATCAGCAGGCCGGGGCTATTCTAGGGCAAACCAGGCTAACTCAATCTCTGCAGTCCTGCCAGGCCTTTTCCAGCTTCAGTCCACTTTAGCAACACAAAGCAGCAGCGGCAGGGGAGCCAGACAAAGAGGACGGCTGTTCCTCCCAGGGACGGAAAAAGGTATATTAAAAGTGCTTAAGAAAAAAAAAAAAAATTATTTCAAGCACAACTATTTCACCCGACACAACCTCAGAGCAGCACCAGATGCCGGACTTCTTCCACAAGTGGAGTAAACAGTTTACATCTCGAGTCCAAGCCCATCAAATAAACAGCTCCAATGGAGATCTGAGCATGCGTACGGCTCATCTTCAGCTGGGGAGCTGTAGGTATAGTAAAACAGGGCTACGTCAAAGCAAAGCTGCCTCGGCAAATTTTCCATTAACATCAGACGCAGGAGAAAGTCAGCCAAATGGGCTCGGGTTCAGAAATGCAGCGAGTATCCGGAGAAAATGAAAAACAAGTGAGGCCTGTGAGCACACGTAAATAGGCACAATGTGTCTGGAAACATATTAAAGTACAGCCTTCCAGAAAAAAAGCCTGAACTGGGGACAATTTGTACCTGGCTTTAATGACAGCAGATGATAAGAAGTCACAATATGCTGAAACATAATTTTTTGTTGGGATCATTAACCTCAGTCTTAACACTGATATATGTCTTGTTACGATTTAGCTGTATGTTTTCCCACAACAGATGGTACAATGCCACTTTTCCATCAACTGATACAAATTTTTTCCGTTTTATAAACTACTAAGCTATTTTTTTAGTGAAGTACTTCCTCTAAGACAGCCATGTGAATGTATCACACTCTACCGGCTCACTCGACATGACTAATACAGTATCACAGCTTTTTAATTCAGTTTAACCATTTCACACAAAAAAACAGCAGAGGTACCATTTATGGTGTAGATGTGTGCAAATTTAGATTACCTAAAAATAGGAATCACAGTTCTAGTATAATACTGAGCTACTTACACATCCTTATGCTAATGTTTGGCTACTGTTATCACTAGAAGTGGGAGAAATAAATCAATACAGTACACTGATCAGGCGTAACATTATGACCACCTCCTGGTTTCTACACTCACTGTCCATTTTATCAGCTCCACTTACTATATAGGTGCACTTTGTAGTTCTACAGTTATAGACTGTAGTCCATCTGTTTCTCTGCATACTTTGTTAGCCCCCTTTTACCCTGTTCTTCAGTGGTCAGGACCCCCATGGACCCTCACAGAGCAGGTACTATTTGTGTGGTGGATCATTCTCAGCACTGCAGTAACACTGACGTGGTGGTGGTGTGTTAGTTTTAGTGCTGCTGGAGTTTTTAAACGCTGTGTCCACTCACTGTCCACTCTATTGGACACTCCAGTCCACCTTGTAGATGTAAAGTCAGAGACGATAGCTCATCTGCTGCTGCACAGTTTGTGTTGGTCATCCTCTAGTCCTTCATCAGTGGTCACAGGACGCTGCCCACAGGATGCTGTTGGCTGGATATTTTTGGTTGGTGGACTATTCTCAGTCCAGCAGTAACACTGAGGTGTATAAAAACTCCAGCAGCTCTGCTGTGTCTGATCCACTCAGACCAGCGCAACACACACTAACACACCACCACCACGTCAGTGTTACTGCAGTGCTGAGAATGATCCACCACCCAAATAGTACCTGCTCTGTGAGGGTCCATGGGGGTCCTGACCACTGAAGAACAGGGTAAAAGGGTGCTAACAAAGTATGCAGAGAAACAGATGGACTACAGTCTGTAACTGTAGAACTACAAAGTGCACCTATATAGTAAGTGGAGCTGATAAAATGGACAATGAGCGTAGAAACAAGGAGGTGGTCATAATGTTATGCCTGATCGGTGTATATCACAATATACAAAGAGGCCCAAATAACTACATTTTAATATTTAATTATTAATACTCAAACATGTATTTAGCCCACTGTTATACCAATCGATGCATTTGCATTTCTGTCTTTATCTACAAGAAGTTTCTTTCTGCTAAGATCAAGGTTGCTGTGTGTGGAGTTATTGCTAGGAATGGTCAGTAGTGTTGTGTAGCACATAAGAGAATGAGGTTTGATTCACCACTATAACATACCAATAAGAGTCACTGGGCAAGACTCTTTTATTATTCTGATACTGTAAACTGTGCAGGATGAAGGCATATGTTAGGATAACAACGTAAGGATGTTTGCAAGGATTAAGTCTATTCTGAATATCCACTTCATAAAACGAAGCATCTGTTAAATACATTATATGGCCAAAAGTATATGGGTACCTGATCATCACACTTCTATGAGGATCGCCCCACCTTCTGCAGTTAACAGCCTCAGGCTTTCCATAAGATTTTCGAGTTTGTGTAAATTAGTGCCCGTTCTGACCATTATCCCTCCTCCACCAAACTTTACCACTGGCACTATGCCTTCCAGTAGGTAGTGTTCTCCTGCAATCCGCCAAACCCAGATTTATCCATCAGACTGCATAGTGCAGTGTGAGTCATCACTCGAGAGAACATTTCCAATGTTGCAGAGTCCGGTGGTGGCATGCTTTACACAACTCCAGTCGATGTGGTTACGCTTATGTGCAGCTGCTCAGCCATGGAAACCCATTTCAGGAAGCACAGTGAGTTTGTGTGGTCTACAGCTTTGTGGCTTCAAGATGCTTCCATTTTACAATAGCAGCACTAACAGCTGACTGAGGTGGATCCATTCTACTGCCAGTGGTTGTCTTGGAGATTGCATGGCTATGTGCTTGATTTTATACACCTGTTAGCAATGGGTGACAAACACCTGAGCACAACAGACCACTGTAGTCGTGCGTCATTCTGTAGTCCTCGTTATGCCCATATTAGGAACTCCAGGTCTAAGCTCCATTTCTCTATGGCCAGAATGAATAGGGTTTTCTAAAAATTGCCTCTATCGCCCCCTGTGTTGAATAAAAAATGTTCAGAACCCGATACGTTTTGTCCTGTGAACATTCTTCTCCCGAATACCACCGGATCCTCCAAATTATGAGGTTGTTAAAGAGCCTTAATACTAATAATGCTACATGCGAGCTAAAGCTACTGTGCATCGATTTGATGTCACAAATCGAGTTGTGCTACCTTATCGAAATGTTCTGCCGTCGCATATATTTACTGGCATACCCGTAAATAAAACCTCTGGGTGGGATATTTTGATAAAGGCTAAAACTCCTTATAAAAATACTACCCATGTTAAAACTACGAGGCTGAATTTAGCTTCTTTTTTGCCAGCTTCTCGTTTGAATGTTCCTGATCCACCTTAAATGGTGCAGCAACAGTGACAGGCTATCACAAGCATTAGCAAACGAGTCCAGTGGTATTTGAGAGCAGAATGTTCACAGGACAAAGCGTATCGGGTTCTGAACATTGTTATTTAACACAGGGTGCGACGGAGACCATTTTTCAAAAACCCTATTAATTCTGGCCACAGAGAAATGGAGCTTAGACCCGGAGTTCCTAATATGGGCATAAGAGCATGGCGCCGACTACAACATGACGACACGGCTACAGTGGTCTATAATTAGGAGGGGCATCTGCATACTTTTGACCAAACAGCGTATGTAAATTTACATACAACATTCCAAAATGTTGATTAGCCTACTTTACAATTCTGTAAAGCTTGGAGAGAGATGTACGAAATGCACATCTTTTCTTATTGGAGAAATAATTTGCAGTGAAAAGTCCTAAATGGCAATATTCTGCAGTAAATCACAATGCTTAGCATTTCACAAATCTTTAGACATCACAATAGAATTAAACTGTGGATCAAGTATAGTGACACTATTGAATCATGGAATCTGTAGCGATTTCCACCCCTACTTATCACACGACCTCCTTTACTTTGCTAAATGTTATGTTGTGCTACAAGCTATTCTTAATTCAGGTTAGATTTATTACAGAATCAGATTCATTTTGTCTGCTTCCAAGATCTGATCTAGCATTTCCTGATGGTATCGGGTCGATACCAATAGCGAATATCGAAATGGCGCCATCTCTGTTTGCTTAATCTACATCCATTTGTGGAAGCATACACAGATAATTTAGGGATAAGTAAGTCAGCATTAGAAAGCCAGACTGAAAAAGCCCCCAGCTACAAAAAACAATGATGAGATGCTAGAAGGTTCCTACACACAAGCGCTCAGAGAGAGTATTCGGTCAAACACAAAACAAACCCTTAAGAGTTACCATGGTCTACCCACATCACAGACAGGCCTTTTATATTGATGTTCGACTCTGGCTTTGTGGAATTGACTTCTTTAACCTAAATTATGGCTGGAATGCTCCTTTAAAAACAAGATGGGGGGAAATGCAGATATTTTAAAATGGCCAATAAAGCCAAGCGCTAGTATGGGTTTATATGGAGAGAGGTGAACGAAAGGACTTTGATGAACTGTCATGGAGGCAGAAGAAGAGCAGGTGAGTGCGCACTGCAGAGAAGAGTGTTAGTCTGGAGAACACACACGCACACATCAGCCACATGTACCCATAGGTGGAGAGTCATGGGAACAGAAGACAAAAGGGAGGAGGAAGCGGCGGGCTTTAGCGGCTTTGGGTGGCGTCGGAGTCGCTGAGTCTTCAGAATAGAGAGAGGGCAGTGGAACAGAGGGAGAAAGAGGAAGACGAGAAAGAGAGGGACAGAGGTAGAGGAAAGAGAACACAGGAAACAGTCAAATAAGAATGGAGAGCACATAGAAAATAAACAGCTTCCATGAAAATGGAATCACCATTATGACGAAACATTAAAAGAGCACTCAAGGTCTGCTTTCACACAAGAAAGGTATGGGATTGATCTGAGCTGGAGGAGGAAGTATTATCTGAACACAATCACTAAACCTTACTTGAAACTTAATGAGTCAGAGTTGTTCACAGTGGTGGTGATAGGAACCAGACGTCTGAAGAGTTTAATGCCTCTAAAAGTTCCTACACAACAAGTTAGTACATGAAATGGTTCTAAATACCTCGCCTGATGCCTGAAACACTGTCTTACAACAGTTTTATGGCCTAAAATATAAAATTTTTAAAATAGATTCATGGTGGAGACACACACGGAGGGCGCTGTGAGACAAAACAGCACCCAAAGAAAACTTCCACGATTTTATCATCACCATTACACACAAAACTTAGAAGACGCGTAAAATCTCTTATGGGTTTGGACAGAAAATAAAATGGCTATATTTGGGTTGTGGACTCCTGGTTCCTATCACCACTGCTGTAAGGAAATCAAAGTTTCTATATTTAACCAAAACACTCTGAATGACTGCTTAGATCTCATCAACTGACTTATACAGAAATTATGAAAAATCTGAAAAGAGTTCTCTTTAACTTTCACTCTGGCAATATTAGCTTTCACTCCCTCGCCGGCGTGGTGTGTGCTACTTGTGCACTAGCAAGTTACTTCTAATCTAAAGCAGCGCTGAGGTTCCAGACTACATTAAGCTTGCAAACCAATGAATTTGTAGTACATTCTCCAGGTCATTTCACGTACCATTAAATGAGTGATGACTTAATCTTGAACCTGCTGATCATACACAGTCTACAGAGATGCTGACATGGCATGAAAAACTGATTTTCCTGTTAAATGTGAATGATGGTGGATTTGCGTGAACAGCAAAACCTGGTACCTACTAAAACCTGGTATGACTGCATTTACGGATTTTCAATCACAATTAAAATGTAAACATGGCCTAAAACGAGTTAATAACACAGCCTATAAGCCCTCAAATGAATCACCTAAAACAAATAGATAGATTGAAAGCGATGCACTAGCAAAAAACGAAACAACTAGGGATCCAAAGCTATATTAATGTGCTTATAAATTCATACGGATCACAAAAAATATTTTTGCTGCTATCAGAAGCGAACTTCGGATATTTAAATAATGTGCAGTACTGTGCAAAATCAGATATCTCACTTCATTTAATTGATTTCCAGTCATAACAGCCTTTAAGTACAAGTTATTAATTTTTCAGAGTCAGAAAACAAAGCAGAAAACATATTTAACAGGAAATCACACAGAAGCCTTTACAACTAAACATACCATCATTTTTCACTAGTTAGCATTTCCAATTTTTGGCATTTATTACTGCTTTCATTTTTTCAAAGAAATCTGCAGGGAAATTCAGGCTTGGAAGTTGACTGCATTTTCTGCTTCTCACTACACATACACTCCCAAACACACACTGAGACTCATCAGTCCATAAAAACCTAAATATGTCATATTTCCAGTTTTGGTGTTCTGGTGAAAATGCTCTTTTTCCTTTTCTCAGTGAGGTTCTTCTTGAACAGCTACACATCCTTTCAGACCCATAGCGCTGAGCTGTCTTCTCACAGTGGAAGGATGGATGTGGATGTTTTCAGATCTGAAGCAGCTTGATTTTCTCCTCTCTCTCAAAGATGAAAGCTTTAAGTGCTGTGTATCTGATGGGGGCAGTTTTGGTGTCTACCAGGTCTTGCAGGTTGTTGTTAGAGTCCAATTTTCTCTGTAGATTTTAACCATTTTTTGACCTCTACATTTTGGATGCTTCCAAGCTTTGGAAATTTTTCACTTATCTTCCTTTGACTTTGGCCCTACTGAAGTGGACTATCTTCTATCTAATCACCTCAGAAAGATCTCCTGAAAAACAAGCAACTTGTACTTAAGAGTGGAGTCTGACTTTTGCACAGTACTGTAAACGAAGCCTCCTATATGCATATAAGACTGACCATGCCATTATGACTACGCAAGAGCACAACTTTGGAAAACAGAGACTGACAGAAGCACAACACTCACCCTCATTCAGTCACTCTCTCTCAGTCTGTCCTCATCTCTGGCCCCTCACACAAGCAGCTCTTTCACTATCTAGCTGTGACCCATCAGCACGGCAGCACTGCCCGGCCGGCCTCTCAATCGCCTTTCTGTGCCACTGCTGCCCGCTGGCTACAAACATTCACCAGGTCCTGAAGCCCTTCTGACTGCAGGACCTTCATCCCTTCTCTCTCTCTCTCTCTCTCTCTCTCACTCTTTCCCTTTCCATCTTGCTCCCCTCTCATATTTAGTACCAGTAAAAAGTTCAGACACATTTAACTCTGAACACTGACAACTGATATGGGCTTTTATAGTGTGCCACTAGTTAAGCGTTACAGTGAAAGGTGTCAGCATGTAGAATCAGAGCTTTCTGTGAGCTTCAGAGTTTCCTATTACTGTGTAAAGGATGCATGAGTCTAGTTGTGGGCAGTATAGCAGTTGATGTTTTACAGGGATACCACAAACAAGTGTAATCAGAGGAATGTTAGAAACACAACTGATGTGTAACTGATTCCTATTTATGTGTTTTCTTCTTCAGAAAGGTAAAAAGAGTAAAAATCTCAGAATGTTTGCCTTTGTTAAATCATGCTCTTATACATATCAAACAAATAAAACAACAGCATTGAGAAGCTGTGTGATGAAAGGAGAAGAGCAGATTAAACAGCAGAAATAGCCACATTTTTGTGTCGGCCTTGAAGGGTCAAATCATTTGGGGTGGGAGCACAAACTGATACAGCAAAACAGCACAATATAATGGGTTTAATGTTAATAAAACTAGGCCCAAATGTCAATATTTTATTATTTCAGTATTATATTAATAAACATGTTTGACCAAAAAAAGCCCCAAAAAATGCTGCTTATTTTTAGCGAGAGCCGCATTTCAGTGGACCGACTCACCATTTTTCAACTGTGAAGTTCACTGATGTTCAAAAAGAACACTACTTGTTTGAGGGTGTTCAAGTAACACAAAAACGATATTGGAACTACTTTGTCAAGAATAAGCACTAGCTTATATAGATCAGAACTAAGAATTAAGATTAAAAAACATACTTAATTAGGGGTGTGCAAACTTTTGATTGGTACTGTATACAAGGTATGGAAAAGGAAATTAGTGCAGAGACCAGAGGGAACAAAAATGAGAACCAGTAGAGTCATACATCTCAACACAACTGCTATCCTCCATATCAGTTTATAACAGCTATTGCTCCATACGAGCGTCATAACTCATTTTTCTCTCCGAGAGCCTCCAGATGATGTTGGCTTCCTGTTGACAGTGCAGAGAGATCCCTACCAGCTTCTCCTCTGGAAGCTCAACATGGCTCAGCTATGCACTTCCGGCATAACACAGGCCATTCCAGCTGCAGTCTGGAAGACACCTGCTCTCTCCTTCTCCTTTCTTTCCACTCGCATCCCCCTAAAAACTTACATAACTCTGCTATGTAACGCTGACATAACCATGCCATGTTATGTTACCTTTAATAGTGCCATGTTACCTCTCACAGTAACGGTCATGACAAATGCCATCATTTTTGATGTCGTGACAGTTTTGCTGAAAATTTTTGCTAAGCATGTCATCAAACATCCTTATGAGACCTCATATTTCACTATAACACCAATAAATCAACTGCAATTAAAATAAATGTGAAATTATCACCAGCCCTACTACTGTTGACTGATCGCACTATAACTATAATACATGTAATTTAGTCCGTGGTATTTTATCTTTCTAACGAACACACTGAGATTCATTATTATAGATTTATTTGATTTTCTTTATTTTTATTTTTTTTATTATTGCTGTCCTTGTGTTGCAGGGAAAGGCTTTACAGGCTTTTACATTAAAAAGACAGTAATGATACACAGATATTAGAAGCATTAAAGGAATAGTTTCCAATTTTCCCACTTATCCCAGATGTAGTTGATTCTCAAATTTTGCTTCTTTCGTTTTTTGCTGGAGCTACAAAGCAAACATTCCTAACTTACACTACAAGTCAATAGTCACCCAAATCTGTCCTTTAAATATATCCCCTCTTAGACCACGTCCAGCTCTTTATTAATGAGGCACAGACTTGTCAATGTGGCTTAGAGCACAACATGACTTACTCTGAACTATGAAAAGAACAAAATTTCACTGTATAGCTGAACCTTTTCACTTTGGCTCAAGTCACGCAGGCTTATAGATGCTATATTACATTAGCGAGACCTCTCAAGAAAACTCAAGCCAGAAATTCTTCATTTTGCACCAAACTATTTCTTTAAAAATTTAAACTGTTTGATTATCATGAGGTTTTAGACTGCGTTACATCATTAAAACTGATAACCACCCCATCCCTACTTTAGTCTCTGCCTCTCTCTCCCTCTCCACTCCTTATCTCTGCTCTTTTTGGTCCCTGCTGTCTCCTTGGCGCTCGCCCATCTATCTGAATGCATATTCTTTGCACGCTCACACCCACAGCTCCCTGTGAGACGACATTTGCTGGCAGGAGTGGAGTTCACCTCCCTGAAAGATTTAATCAACATCAAGGACTTCCTGCCTACCAAGGGAAAAAAATGCCACTTTGGCCTTAAACATGTTTCTGCTTTTATAAGTAAAGTTATGTGTATCTATAGTGTATCTAACACAGCATTGCAATGGTCACTTTAAAAGAAGTAAGCAGTCTTACCTGATACAGATATGGCGCGCACTCCTGTTCGGACAGCCTCTAACCTCTTTTCACTGTTGCCAAGCCTGTAATGCAGGTTGAACACATGCATCAATAAGATTCAAAGCCTGAATTAATACATATACACTGACTGTGAACAGTCTGGGGGCACCTAGTTTAATGCTCTTATTAATGAGCAGGTTGCCTTCATCGGTTTGCATTAACTTAACATATTAAGTGCAAATCTGTCATTGTTATTTTTCTTCATCTAAAGCCCTATTTTCGGCATAATGTCACACCATTTTCTCCACTTGCTGTGACACCAGCACTAAACAGAACTCCAAACTTTTTTGGGTTCCAAAGAGCTTCAATATGTGTTTTTAACAACAGTTTGCAACAGCAAACTGTCAAATCATTATTTAGACAAAACCTGCTCTTCACAACTAGGACGACACTTTGAAGAACATGGAGCCGACTGTTTAGGATCACAACGTGAGTAAATTATGTTTGCTTCAGTAAAAAATTCCATTTATTCACTGAATGTAACATTATACAACAAGTGACTATAAATAACTATAATATTATATAATAAAATACTAACTGCTGATGTAAAATGGAAAAGATTTTATTTATGTAATAAAGGTGGTAGTAGTGCTCTTAATTTTAATAGACAATAAACAGGCTATAAATAAATAATAATTGTGCATTAAAATTCATTAAAGGTGCATTAAAAGTGCGCTCACTGTAGAGGACTTCTTAACTTATTTTAACTAAAAAAATAATGATCATACAAAATAAATCAACAGAACGTCATTTCAACACGTGTGCCCATATTTCTGCACACCCAAAGAATTGAAATAGGAATTAGGAATTAGGAGGCATTTATTCTCACTTAACATCAAGTTACAGCAAGAGATTTTTCATTTTAAAAGAAGAAATGTTCCCAAACTTTTGACAGGCAACGTAAACTCTCATACACTGAGCCAATCTGTAGTTTTATATTGAGCATGTGATGTAGAGTCACTGCTTGTTAATTAATAGATTATTGTTCTAAAAATATGAGGAGTTTATAACAGTTTACACTTACTTTGGGATAGATGGAAGCGCTCTCTCTCCCTCTGTTGGTCAAAAATGGAAAAATAAAACATAAATACAAGCTTTATTTCTGTAACAATTTTCTCTCCTGACAAGCATGAATGTCTGTCCACACCCTTCCCTTGCTTTACCCTGACAGGCTCCACAACACAAAATGAACCACATTCAACTCAATTTAATACAATTAAATTAAACCACCGCAGCTCATATTTTGAACCAGATAACAGATAAGCTATGTGATGATGTATTTCTGTGCTGTTTAACACTGGATGTTTGGATGGTTGTGCTCTTTCTGCTTAAGCCATAAGATACAATGGAGTCTATTCAGTCAGAAAACAGGCCAAAAGGGGGGCTGCATCTCAGTGCCCGTCATTTCCATCCCAGAGCCTTCCAGGAAAGCTGGAGTAAACAAGCCTAAGGAAGACCTACCTTTCTGTGGTCTTACGATGAAGGACTGGACGACTCCGTTCACCAGCCGACAATAGCCGTCAATCAGGTCAGCCATGTTCTCAGCGGTGGCGAAAGACGGTGTGGTGACCGTGAGAGGCTGGAAGAGCATGGAAAGAGACAGAGACGGTTCCACAATGAGTCATTATACTGCCCAGCCTAACTAACCAGCTTCAGCTACGACTACAAGCCCATCACCAATTGCAAATACAACTCCAACTGCCAGTCAGCTGCAACTGCACTGGCCAGTAAGACACACCCCTGACTCTCCACAACTCCAGACACACCCCTAATTCCACACATGCATCTGGTTTTATACAATGTCCGAACATGGTATCATATGTCCCTGTTTTTATTATACATACGATTTTGCCTTTACAATTTAAATTTCATCAGTTGTAAAATGCAACAGAAAAAGGAAGCAGCAGAAATGCTCTAAAATTCTAAAATTACTAAGGAAAAAATTTGTTTTAAATTAAAGTCAAGAACATTTTATCATTTCAGAGATGTTGATGCGACAGCGACTACAAATTATAATATCTCTCATTTGTATTATACTGTATTACATCTTTATAAACAATACTGTGCAAAAAGTTTAGAAAAAAAGAAGGCCAGTATTATTTTTAGTTATCATCCAATATCTGCTTCGGCTAATCAATATCTCACTGTGTTAAACCAAGAGTCCTGTTGATGGAACAAATCCATATGATGGCTGGAGGCGTCTAGGAGAAATCCGGAACCAAGCAATGCTCTTAAAACCACTTCACAAATTTCACAAAGCTACTTTTTGGAAAATCAGATATTCCTGTAATGTTTATCAGTATTTATTTTATGGTGATTGTATTGGCAAAAACACATTCATTACTGAGATAAACAACTTTTTAGGCGCCTAAGAGTTTTGCACAATAATGTATTAAATAATGACTTACAACTTAGCACGCGCACACACACACACACACACACACACACACACACACGTTTATCTTACATTACTAATGAGGACTTCCATTTATTTCTACTTTTGTATTACTGTAGCCAAGTAATACTACACCTAAACCTAACCTTAACCTTGGTATCCAAACAGCAACCAAAATTATATATATATATATATATATATATATATATATATATATATATATATATATATATATATATATATAGTTGTATATATATATATAAATAAATAAAACAATTTGTGCTAAAAACAAAACATGCTCAAGTGAGGATCAGCAAAATGTCCTCACACTTGCGCCAAAATGTCACAGTGTTGTATCATTGTGAGGACACATAGTCCTCACAAGGATAGCAAGACGAGTACACGTACACACACACACACACACACACACACACACACACACAGTGCAAGTGTTAGCCACTGCTGTTGCGCTCTGCTTATCAGCCCAGCTGACTCTTTAAAATCAGTTCAGAGCTACAGCACAGAAATAAAAGAATCTATTCATGTGCACCAGAGGAAGAAGAATAAGCGGGTAAAACTGCTCAAAGTGAAAAAGGGTGAGAGAAAAGGAGGGAGAACGTGTGTGCACTGTGTGAAAACACGGAAACTACAGCTCCCGGGATAATTCAACAGAGAAAAATTTGCACAGATTCAGCCTCGTTCCAGAATAATCACTGGAGAATCCCTGCAGAAACTGGCAGTGCTATTTAGGAAAAGAGCAGCCTTGGCTGAGTTCAGACGGCAGAGTATATTTCGCTCTGAACACCATTATGTCGGCCGGACGCGGATTCCACAAGCTCTACTTGTTCTTTAGAGGATCCCGTTTTTCTGCCGCTGTTCACTTTTTTTGTCACAGATCGTTGTGGATCCAGTCAAAAAATGTTCAACTAGCAAATAAGCGCAGATAGTCATGTTTCATGAGATAACCAATCAAAAAAGAGGGCGAGGAAAACGTATCCACAGAGCGCACACACAGATGGACAGTCTGACAGTTTTACTTGCCCTTGCGATTTGAGAAATATTCAGCTCATAGATAAACAGTAACTGAGTGGCATATTTACCATCTTCTACGTAGCCATCACTGAGGCTAGCTAAGCAAAAGTGTCCCACACCAATGTAGCTTGGTGAGTTGTTGACTAATGTAGAAATACAGTATTATGTCACTTTGCTTGCTGGTTGTGGTGGTCAAGACATGTGCTAATGCGACTAATGTTCACATGGGTTTAGTAGGAAGAATGAAATCTGCTGGACTTTTTCTGCCCATCTTCTCTCCCGGATTCCTTGAGGTTCAGACGTAGATTTTTCCAGAATACATTCTGCTGTCTGAACGCAGCCTTAATCTGTGACTTAATTCCAGATCAACGGAACCTGGAAAAATTGGTCCAGAGCAGGGGTCAGCAACCCAAACATTAAGAAGACCCATTCTGTCCTTTCAACAAAAATCAAACCACCTTGGGAGCCACAACATTTTATGTCCACTTTACTGAAGTAACGTTTCACCAACTTGGCTGTAAATTCATCTCAGTATGTGCTAATGTCCTAGAACAGGCTGAAAAATATAATATAAATGAAAACGCAGACTTACTTTGCTCTACTTAAAGCTTTAGCTCAGCTATAGCCACTTTTCTCACAAACTTTTCCGACTTTTTCTGAGGCTGAAATGAGCTTCTCATTCGCCAGCTCCTTCTTTGAATTTTCCTGTTCCAACCTAAATGGTGCAGCAGTTACATTCTGGTGCCTTAGGCAGCATTTAAGGTGCAACGGGAAAATTCAAACAAGAAGCTGGCGAACGACAAGCTGACTTCAGCTTTGCGATGTTTTATTGTTTGACAGTTTCTCATTGCAGATTAAATGTATCAGGAAACCAGCTGGAGTGATTATAAATGCATACAAGTTCATTCCTCTCCAAATTATGTTCGTCTTAAATCTTTCTCTTTGCCTTTCCGTTAGCTACTAGCCAGGCAAGAGGTCATCTGTTGTCTGCGTTGCTATGTGACCAGCAGTCTGCGCGCCAACCTTCAGGGTTAAAGGGTGAATTAGCAGTTCTACATTAACTCCAGCATTTAAGACCATTTATTGTTAAACTGTGTTGAACGATCAGCAGAGCTTTATTTTACTGCAAAAGAGGATTTTTTTATTTTTACCTAAAAATCTAATTCTGCTGTGGAGCCGCAACAGGGCAGCAAAAGAGACACATATTGGCGATCTCTGGTCTAGGGTGACTGTACTTGACTCAAAATCAACTGTGCTGTACAATACAATGCTAAACTACTCCACCATAGTATACAAACTGCCCATAAAGACTTTCTGGCACTGAGGGTTAAACATACTAAACTACAAAATACTACACACTATAATACGTCACTTTATTATAAAAATGTCCCCGACTAACTAGATTAGAAGTACTATGTTGTACAACTTTTCACTGAGAGCCAGCGTCACATGCTACTAGTATTCCTATTATAAAGCACAGAGGGTGTGCTGTACCTCGGCCGCTCCAGCCACGTCCAGTTGAAGCATACCCTTCCTGTCACGATCTTCCATACAGGAGTACTGGATGCTCTGAACCTGTGTGAAGTTGGCCAGATGTGTGGGCTGCAAGATAAGAGGAAAACATGCCCAGAAAAAGTTAATTAGGTTATTCAATTCCGTAACTTAAAGCCTAACTCGAAACATTACTGGCTGAGCCTGTTAGCCAGGCCCCATCTGCTATGACGGCCAGTTTGGACCCAGTTTGGTCAAACAAAACAGCATTTTTATCCAGTGTTTATTACTATACACTTAATTTGTGACTGGAAAAGTGTGCGCATTAAAGAGATCCTGCTAGGATTAAATTCTTGGAATACGATTTAATTACATTAACAGATAAGAACTTTATTGTTCTTCTCATATAAAGTTACCCTTTGGAAAAGTGAGTTTGTATTAAAACATCGACAATATATTCATTTTTTTTCCACATCTATTCTACTCTCAGACTCGCGTCGACTTATTATTTGTGTATCTGCTCACAAAATGGAGATGAAATAACCCCATTTTCCAACCCCAGCCATAGCGACAAAGTACAAACAGAAAATCTGATCCTCTGGCTTCAGTAAAAATAGACAGTCCCAGGTGCTTTGTGTTGGGAGTGCTAAGGCCTGACTGAGATTAATGATGTGGAAAGCACTCCAGAGAGTCTCTGGTTTACAGGTGCGTCATGAAGCAAAAAGGCTAAGAAACCGGAGACCAAACAGGAAGCACAGAAGTGCGCTGAGGCTACAGGGTGAACGTGAGTGAGCACAGCGTACTGAAACACAACCCTCTACCTCTCATAAATGACCTTGTAAAGCTATTAGCTCTACATATAACATTAAAGGAGAAGCTTTGGGTAAGTAATATGTGTGGGCTGTGAGGTAAAGGGTGAGGAAGACTGGATCTTGCTTACCGTTGAGCCTTTATCTGTCAGGTAGCTGATGCCTTCCTCAGGGCCGATAGCCAGCTCCACTGAGATGACCCAACTCGACTGGAGGGAGAGAGAGATATTAAAACAGGAGTAGCCGCCATGCGGAAGCCTGAATTTTGTCCATTTATATTATTAACAGTGTGTCATACAGAGTCAGACACCACATAATTGAGTCTATTTGAGATGACTTAACAATTCCACATGGTTTGCGGTCAGTGTGTTAGGAGCAGGTATGCAGTTCTGTAATTTACATGATGCTAACTGGTGATCAGCATTAGCAGCTTCAGTAAAAGAAGCAAACCTTAAGGCACCAAACATGCCTTGGCAGACAGACAACATTTGGAGTAAGGGGGACATTAAACATTTTGCCAAAGTATTGCTTCCAAAGTTCCTCTCACAGCCAACAGGGGGCATCGAAAGATCACTACAGACAGAGCAGCCGCCTTTAACCAGATTCTCACTCCTCCACCCACATCCCCAGTACTCACCCCAAGAGCACACTTAAAGCACTCCTTGTCGAATCTGTACACAGGCGCGAGGATCTCGAAGAACTTGAGGATACTCTGCTCGTCGTTCATGTTGGCAAACTGCTTGAACGTCTGCTGGATCTGCTTCCGCAAGGTTTTAGCCTACAACAGGCAGAGAACACTAATAAACAAGAGCATTTCAGGACAGCGCTAAGCTGAGTTATCAGTTGGTGTAAGTAAAGGGAAGATCTGGGGCTTCTCAGCTGGGTGGAAGATACGCCCACGTCGTTCAGTACTGTAAACATGAACACAAACACGAGGAAAGGCAGAAGAGAATGTGTATCCAGACGTGAATAATACTATTCAGTGCTTATATCCATCACTCTGAGTGGAGAACAGACTGGTTTTTAATTAAACATATAAATGCTCACATTATAATCCTCTTTAGTAATCAAAACCACAGGGCTTGAATGTAGAGATGGAGTAGTGGTACTGATGGGTATCAGTATCAGGAGAATGGAATGGGAAGTGAACGGGAATGAAGGAAATTACAGTGGGAATTTTCACCAAACATATAATGGGTTTGAGGAATGGGATGGAGTAAATCGGCATTCCAGGAGTGGACACACACAGATCATATCAACAGCACAGACAGGCTGGAACATGTGAGCGGTCACTTAGCGCGCTGCCCGCCCTTCCTGACAGGAAGCTGACTTGAGTATCTCTTCCAGCATCTCCTGAGGAATCACGGGAAGGGTCTGTTCAAGCCAGAAAGAGGCGGTCCCTTTCAACTGCCCCTGTGTGGATTCAGCCACTTCATTTGTTTCATTGTGCTTACGCAGAATCGGACGTTAGCTCTAGAAAGGGAGATTAAATATTCATTCTGGTCGACCTCGGCCGCACGAGTGTCTCTTCATTACTCTGTATGAGACCCTTCTGGCGGGAGGCGACCGGTGTTGCTTATTCAAAACGCCACATCTGAGCACTCAATCATTTCTTTTATTGCCTAATTTGATTATTCTCACTATTCAGTCCACTAGCCAGACATTATTACCTGACAGATGGTAGCGGTTGCAATTTAACTCCGTGTGTAAATCACATTACTGCCACTGCATGAACTGAGTGCGCCAACAAACGCGTCATCTGCCAGAACCCAAAACAACATTTCTAGGAATCGGAGATTATGCTTTTTAATCCTTCTGTACTCAAAAAGAGACCGCATGTGAGGAGTAAATGTGGCATATCCAAACACAGCGGGACTGTAGCAGGGGAGCACTGCGTGTACTGCATGATATATTCAAAGTTTAATGATTTTTCAGTACTACAACACAGTAACAATTTTAATACTCTTTGACTTACTTACTTAAATAGGGTAACATCACATGAACAGTACATTCTGCCTGTAGGTGAATCAAACTACACTAGAGGTCTACTACCTGACCCAGGCCTATCAGACCTTTTCAAAACAACAGATTTTGTAACGTTTTCCACCTCATTGTTCATGTACAACGTCTGGCTTTCTAACAAGTGATTTTTTTATGCAGTAAATGTGTTTTTATTCGAAGGAATAAGACTTTTTCTCTTGAAATTTCTCTCTTTGTAGTAACTAGTAATGGGTGGTGTACTGGTTGAAACTGTTCCACAGGTAAGAGTTTTGTCTAAACCATTATACCAGTATGCCACAAATACACACAGATGACACAACATATAAACCCCATCTGTCAAACAAAAGGTCCACGGGCCAGATCAGGCCCGCCACACAATCCTATCCGGCCCACAAAAGTACTTTAATTTTCTGTTATTATTAGCCTGTTTCACAGTGTGCTACACTACAGTGCTCAGCAGGCACTGCGACGCAATGTGCTCTGACTCTCCTACCCCAACAACAGTCTATGGGACAGCAGTTACACCTCAATTCTACACAATTCTGCACAATTCCAAGCCAGTCGTATCACCAAAATGCGTTTTAGCTGCAGTTTAGCCAATATAAACACTTAACATTAGCTCAGCTGCTCAGAAACTGAGCCCAAGTCTGGACTAAAAATGAAATAAAACCCCTTTTTTTCTCTGACTCATAGATTTGATGAGATTTTTTAAATGTGGCCCTTCTACTGGGTGAGTTTAACACCCTTGATATAAACTGTGCAAACCACACACACAGTAGTCTGTTTCGTTTTTCAAATGAAAATGAAAATGCAGCAGATCCTCGATCACCTCCCGCTGCATTTAAAGTAGTCCACTTTATGTTCGAAGCAGCGGACATAAAGGATCGGCCAGTCTTTTGGGGTTAGCCCAGGCTAGAGCTAGCAGAGTAACTGTCGCGCTTCTGTTTCCTCTCGGTCCATCTGAGAAGCTGCCTTACTTGGTGAGCTGCATCAGACGAGGCCGTGGTCTGGGGGTCTTGAGCACAATACAAGCCATGGATCAGCTGGTACTGAAGTGCCTAATGTTTTCTCAGTCCCAGCAGTCTGACGGTCAGAGGCATGTGTATATGGGACACAGGTATCAGACAAACAAATTGAGAAGTCGCAAACTTCACTTTGGTGTTAAAACGTGACTCTCAATTTACTAATCAGAGGCAGTGACCCTTTAGTGCCCATAAAAAAGATCAAATAGGTGCTCGCTGCTCTCTTCTACTCCCTATCATGACCACTCTATTAGGTTACATGCAAACAGTCCAGAGGTTTGGGGGGATGGTGTGTTACTCTTCAACACATGCATAGTCTCTGGAGAGTTTGGGGGAGGGGGATATGGTGTGGGTATCTCGGCCAGGCAGAAAGAAAAAGGGTCTCGGCAGAAGAACACCCCCATCCAACCCACACAGACACACACACAGTGGATTCAACGATGACCCCAGGGGTCAGGGAACACCCCTGACTTGGAGCCAAGCATCTGTCCATGTATGTTTTGCAGGGTCACGGAGCATGCATCGTAGTGCTGCTGCACGCACGGCCTTCACGTGTGCCACAAATCTATCTTCCCCGCTCGTCCACGTGCACGTGAGTGACAGCAGCTGCTCAGACCATAAACCACTGCTAACTCGCTGTAACAGAGCCGCAACCCTTTAACATCTAAATAGAACACAAATTAGAAGCTACTGAAAAACAGGTGTTGTTCGTGATTCTGCAGTCAGAAAGAACTGCACAGACGCACAACTGTCATAATACTATTCTGGGTGTTTCACGCAGGATTAACATAATCTAGGGTTATTTTTACGGTCCATTATATATATATATATAAATATAATAGACCGTAAAAATAACCCTAGGTTATGTTAATCCTGCGTGAAATGCCCAGAATAGGCAGGATACACCCTGGACAGGTCGCCAGTCCATCGCAGGGTGGGAATAATATAATCTGGGGTTATTTCTATGGTTAATTTTATAGGACAGGATTAAAATAACCTGGAATTATTTCTATAGTTCATTTTATAAGAATTCATATAGCCTGGGGTTATTTCGATGGTTCATTTTATAGGATGGGATTAATATAACCTGGGATTATTTCTATGGTTAATTTTATAGGATCAGATTAATATAATCTGACGTTATTTCTACAGTTCATTTTATAGGATGGGATTAGTATAACCAGGGGTTATTTCAATGGTTCATTTTATTGCACAAGATTAATAAAGCTTGTGGTAATATGTTCAGCTTGTTTTACAGCACAAGGTTAATATATCCTGGGATTATTTCTCCAGTTCACTTTCTAGCGTGGTATTAAAATAATCTGAGGTTATTTTTCTTGTTCAATTTATAGCACAGGATTAACATAACCTGGGGTTATTTCTACATTTCATTTTATAGCATGGGATTAATATAACCTGCGATTGTTTCTACAGTTCACTTTATAGCACAGGATAAAAATAATCAGAGGTTATTTTTATAGTTTGGTTTACAGCACAGGATTAATATAATCTGGGGTTATTTCTACAGTTCATATAATAGCATGGCTTTAATATAAAGAGGAATTATTTCATCAGTTCATTTAATAATTTGGGATTAATATAACTATTCTATAGTATGTTTTATAGCACAGCATTAATATAACCCGGGTTGTTTCAACAGTTCGGTAGAAACTGCTGCTCACATGCTGAGGCAGGGTTGACCTTGAATTCTACTGCTTCTCATTATACAAGAACTTCTTGACGCTTCGCTCCATGGTACCAAAGGACTGACATTTCTGAAGGAACTCAAGCGTGCTGGTCAGATTCATGTCTCTGATGCTTTCTGGGCTTATAATTAACAACTCACCTTCACGGAATCCAGCAGACTCTTGGGAAAGAACCTTCGGAGCCCGACATCTTTTCTGGAAAACAGAAAAACAGAAGAGGCTTTGGAACGTGTTCAGTGGAGAAACTGATGTCTGACAGCAGAGGGATGTGCCGGAACTCATTCGACATCCTCAAAAGAGGCGTCCATCTGTGATCCTAATTGCATGAAGAAGCTCCAGAGGAAGATGCCCATTTGGCCTCTGCCTTGAAGGCAGCTTTTATCTGATCTCAAAAATGGATGGTTTCGGTTCGGGAGGGGTGGCTGAGGGGTGCTGGCTCTGGCACTGACATTTCTATAAAACACAGAGAACCTGTTTCCCCCTAGAACTTGAGGGAAATGGATGAAATGTGGAATGCAGAAACTGCAATGCAGGTAACAACCAACAACAATGAAGTCTTTAAATTTTTATATTTTTATTCTTATTATATTTTCCCTGTTTTTATATAGTCAAAATACATATTTTTGCTCTCGATGCCGAATTATGCTAATTACACAAATTGGCAAAATATGGATGGCATACATATCTCACAGGCAAAGATGATCTGAGGTCAGGAGGTTTGGTAAGATATCCAAAAGGACCTCCTGGAAAATATATAAACTTTGTGGCTGCAAATTTAAAGCTACAGTTCAGTAAAAAAAATTCAGTCTACTTCTTCAGTTTTGCACTGGAGCTACAAGGCCTGAGAAACAAGTTTGCTGCATAGCTAATAACAGCAAAAGTCAGTCTGAAGCATGAGTTCTGTACGCATACTGTTGACCATATTTTTAGTAACTTTAATTTTTTACTACGAAATGGCTCTGAAGTAGAGGTCTGCACTCCTGCGGATTCCGCGGGACCCGCCACAATATCTTGTGCCGTGGGAGCGGGTGGGCAACCAGCGCACTGTAGACGGGAGCAGGGCAAAGCACGCATGAAGAGACATCCCACAAATGAATGAAAAGCCTAAATAAATTATAAATGAATTCAACCTAAAGAGTTATGAAGCAACCAATCACGTGAACAAATGCTTGAAGCTTACAGAGACGGAGGAGCCTTCAGCCCAACGGCCACAGCTACTGAGCCCAGCAAAACACCAAAAATAACCAGTCTGTGGTTCAATTCCTGCTTTGTGTTTACTGGGAATAAATGGCATTTGGTGAAGCTACTTCACAGTAAGCCTGATGACCATGACAGCCGTGTTATCCATCCATCCATTATCTAAACCGCTTATCCTTCTGGGTCGCGGTGGGGTGCTGGAGCCTATCCCAGCTGTCATTGGGCGGAAGGCAGGATACACCCTGGACAGGTCGCCAGTCCATCGCAGGGACAGCCGTGTTATTTTAACAGAAAATAATGTATTTGTGAACAGACTGTGTCAGATATTGGATGTCAGCTGGCCTTGATGGAATTGTGCGGGCAGGAGTGGGACAAAACACTTCGATTGCGGGCCGGAGCGGGACAAATGATTCCGATTTCTTTCAGAGTCTGGACTAGAAAAACAGTCCCGCGCAGACGTCTACTTTAAACCCTGGCATATAATAAAAAACATCCCCTAAACAGTTTATCATTTAATTTTAAATTAAAGGTGTGCTTGTCAGTTTTAACCACCAGTCTATTTATTTAATTAAACAGTGTTTGACCAAGAACTCAATAACTTACACTAATGGACTGTTCAAACAGCTCACCTGACTGACACCTTTAAACATGGAGATATGAAAACTGGGTAAGGGGCAGGGGGTAAACATGGCTCTGTTTGACCATTATTACTCTGTTTGACCATTATTACACATGCAGAATTTTAGCGATTTAAAAGCAACTACAGCTGAAAAAAAAAATGTCTGGGGAAAAAAAAAAAGCATAAAAATATGTTGCTTACATACAATAAAAGCACTCTACAGTGCTCCATATGATTGATGTGATATCAGTGGCAAACCGTGACTATCAGAACTAAGCCTTCAGTTGGGGAAATGTGAAAACTCACACATACACATAAAGACCTCTGCAATGATGCTAATTTCTGCTAGCATCCCTTTAATATTCCAGTCTAAATGGCTTTTGTTGTTCTATTACAGCAGAAGAAGAAATTCCTTGTTGCCAAAACTGAATTTTAAATGAGGTGCTGTGCAGGGAGCAAAGTCAAAAGGTATAATGGGTCAAATTACTCTTTTACTGAAAAACAGTTGTTAGATTAAGTGATTATAGAAACAACTGTTAGGTGCAGCCCTAAAGGAAACCCATACTGAGCCCAAATCCTGCCTCACGGCTGCTCAACCCATCACCATCAGTGACAAACTCCTGGCGGCTGTGTCCGAGGGTAGCTGTCACTCAAATTGCGATTGGTTTGTGATTGGAGTGCACCTGGGGCCGGCACGCTGCTCTGTGACTTCGGGCGATCGGACTGAATGACCTGGAACTAACGTCAGCACATGTGCCGCACCACAGCCCCCTCAAGGGGACAAGGGGAGACTGAATGCGTCTGTGTTGTGGAATGTGTGGCTCTGATGGGGCTGGGAGGAGTGCTGATCATTGGCAACACAGCTTCTGTGATCAGAAACAGAAGCATATTTCCTTCTAACTGCCTGGCTGCAGTTTACAGTACAGAGCTGGAAATGGAAGGTGACATGAGTCACGAGAAATCTAAAGGGAAACTAATAGAACCTGCTGCAGTTCAAGTTCTAGTTCATTTTCAACCCGCTTCCGAACTGTCAATAACCGTGACTAAATTGTTTTGAGTGATTAAATTGTGTTTTTTTTGTTAATTTTATGCCACTCTAATTTGGCTAATTTGAGCGTTTATTTTGGCTAATAACTACATTGTGTGCTAGTATGCTTCACATAATATGATGTACTGCTCTGTTCTTTGCTCATACACTAACAAAAATGTCTACATTTACACAGAAACATGTGTAGAACCACACAAAGCATATATTTGGCACTATTGATAGTGAAAATGTGAGCAAAAACTCTCACACAGTGGAATCATAGCATTAGCTTCCTAAATTGCTCGTCTCTCCTTTGAGAACTCTTTACCACGTCAAATTTGTAAAAATAGCTATTGACACATTAACATACTATCCTAGTTTACATTCTGGTGTTCTTACTGGTGATGCAATAGTATTTGATGACATTATCCTCACAAGGAAGAGTAGTGAGGATGGTTGACCAGCATAACAGCATCCAAAACACAACATATGCTATTTTTTATTTTAGCAGGCAAAATACAGATGTTTGATTGATTTGAGCAGCAAGTATTACCAAAGACAGTGAAGCCATTAGGTGCTGCTGGTACGAATCCAGAGCAGGTGCCTAAAACCATAAAACTGGAACCTTCAGGACTGGATTGATGGAAAAAGCATAGTTTTCTAGTTTTCTAGTGCTGAAGGTTTTGCGCTAATGTTACTTTACACAAAGGAAAAACAATCAAATATACTGGCTAACATTGTATGACATATTGTTATTGATTGCTAAAAACAGCTGCAGCAGTCTTTAGGCCTGGATTTTATATGTACAGTATGTCATACATGGCGTCAGTATGTCAGTTTGTCATACAGAGTTAGGAATTGCCTAAGTAAGTCTAAACATTTAAGGGAAAACTGTCTAAATGTGATATTCCTTTGGTCATCACCTAATTAAAGGAGATTTCTGGGGCTCCTGAGTGGTGCAACCGTCTAAGCGTTGGCCCTCTCATCAGGAGATCGCGAGTTCGATCCCTGGTGATGCTACAGCCGTCCGTGGCCGGGAGTCCAAGAGAGCACAATTGGCCTCACTCTCTCTGGGTGGGTAGGATGGCCCCCCTCCTCCCCCCATCACTCTACGCGATGCTAGTCAGCGCAGGCGTCTGTTAGCTGACCTAACAGAACTGGTGCTTGGCGTTTTCCTCCAATGATGCTGCGTCAGCAGCAGTTCGAAAAGATGCGGCGGCTGGCTTCACAGGTCTCGGAGGAAGCCTGTGTTAGCCTTTGCCCTCCTAGCGTTGATTATATCGCGTGATTGGGGGAGTCCTAACTAGCGGGTGGAATTGGAGACAACTAAATTGGGGAAAAAACTGGGTAAAAATCCCCCCCCAAAAAAAATTTTAATTAAATTTCTGTGTAATTCAATCGTTGAGATGTAAACAGTCATTCAGAGTGGTTTGGCGTGAAATGGTTAACTGTAAAGAAACTTGCTGACTCATATTTCTTTACAGTGGTGATGACAGGAACCAGGGGTCGCAATTTGCAAGTACAGCCTTGTTATTTACTACTCAAAAGCACCAGTTAACCTACACATCTTCTGACTTTTCATATGTAAAAATAAATAAATAAAAAAATAAAAAAATTTGGGGACTATTTGCCTGACAACAACCTGCATGTCCCTCTCCACCATGAAAGGATTTGTTAGAAATATGGTTCAGGCCACAACCACCTCAAAACCATCATGAAACAATGTCTCAGACACTATGAAATGTATTTATAACCAATTAATGTAATAACTTTATGTGATGCAGCTTTAGAGGCATTCAACTTTCTAGACATCTGGTTCTTATCCCCACCAATGTGAACAATTCTAACTTTTCTCCAGAACGAAGCGTTTCACAACAAACCACTCCGAATGACTTGGTTTAGACCTTAATGCTTTAATTATGCAGGAATACTGAAAAAAAAAAAAAAAACGGTTGAATTCCCGTTTAAAAACCAGCCCACTTCATCACCCACTTAAAGACCAAACCAGTTCAGTCAACACTAGGTATCGAATCCTCAAGGCTCAGCACAAGAGGAAATAATCATTATGGAGTCACAGAGGTAAGGCCAAAGAAAACCACAGAGGTGTTTGCTAATCCGCTGATCCAAGAGAGACCTAATTCACACAACAGGACCTCATTTACTATTAGCATACTTGGCATTGTTCTCTTCACTCGCCCTGCCAATAACACCCACTTGTGTTTATGTGGAAGGAACCGCGACAGAAACAGAAGAACTGTTCAGTTAATGACCATAAGCCTGGACTCTGGAGTTCTTGAACAGCTTTCACAACGCGGCAAACACACCAATCGCCCTTCAAGCTTCACACAGCCACATAATCCTTGACTGTGTAGACGCTCGACAGTTCAGCCCTTGGGGTGTTAGCGCTGCAGCACAAACAGGATTGGCACATACAGGGAACATATAGAACCGGCCCAGGACGCTCGAGAAATACAGAATACGATCCCCTCAAGGTTCCAGAGGACACCACAGAACAGCGGAGACATCGTTAGGACAGAAGACTAGCAAAATGTCTCCTCTTATTAGTACAGCTGGGCATTTAAATCATTTTTAAATGACTAGTATTCAAATAGTGTAACAGGAAAACATGGAAGGTTTAACATTCAGTCAGTGTGCAAGCTAGCACAGGAGCGTTCTAACTGTGCTGTTATTTCACCAACACATCATGGTTTTTTCACAAACTCTATCACTCCGCTGAGACGCCCATTGCTAAGCAACGACTTTGACAGCTGGAGGAGACGCTCAAGACATTTAAACGTTTTTACTTCTTACTTTGCCACAAACAGAAAATGGACACTTTTAAGATCACATTTGACCGACAGCCGATTTGGTCAGACTCTAAATTTCCAAACTGTCATCACCACTGAGCAGCTTTTCAGTCGGCAGCTGTGACAGAAGAACAACTGAACAACCTGGAATCAGCCAGAAATGAACCCAACACCATTCGCCAAACTAAATGGGCTGTAAGATGTTTTACAGACTGGCTGGAACAAAACAACATTAATACTGATCTGGCAGAAAATGACAACACTGAGCTAAACTTGATATTGCGGCTGATTTGGTCAGACTCTGAAGATCAGACTACACGTTTGGCGAACGGTATTCGGTTTATTTCTGGCTGATTCCAGGTTGTTTAGGTGTTTTGCTGCTGACTGAAAAGCTGCTCAGTGGTGACGACAGTTTCGGAATTTAATGTAAGGAGCTGGAGAACAAACTGCCAGCTGTGCAGCGAGTGAGCGGAGTTCGTTACTCTGACGTAGCAACGAGCTGCTTGTTAAGGAACTTTAATTTGGCGGAAGGAACTGCGAACATTAAAACATGTTAAATGCCGCGTTCACGGCCCAGTTTATTAATTTATTATTTTATTTATTTAACTGTTGTATGAAAGCAATAGAACACTCGAGGTTGTGCGTTATCGCAAATAACATCCCGGCTGTGATGATCTACGACACTCGCCTTCGGCTCGTGCCTACGACCAAATCACAGTGATGTTATTTCGCGATAACACACTCCCTCTCGTGTTCTATTGCTTAAGTATTTGATAATAAACCAAAATGGGCCGCATCACACAAACTAGTTTACATGTTGAGCTTAGTGTCTTCTACACCTGCCTCTAAACAGATGCAAGTCCCTGCTGTCGGAACAAAACCTTGTATCTCCAAAATGATAACTTTACAGGAAAAGGAAAAAATCTACTTTACTTTTAATGTAAGTCAATGGAACCAGACATTCCAAGTCATTTTGGGCCGTTTCTTTGGCCTATTCATTAAGAAATTCACACACAATGTAAAGAGCAACAGACGTTTTCAAATTATGTCAAAAACTGAAAAATGACAAAAATGGAGATGCGAGGTTTGCTTCCGACAGCAGCGAAGTGTTTTAGAGAAACCAACAGAAATCACACAGATAGCAAAAAGAAGACCAAGATCGTGACTGACGCTTTTGGTCGAGATACCTAAGCTTAGCTAAAAATACTCCTCAGGAGAAACTGAAAGCGCCAATCACAGCGATGCCACAATCAAGAGTCTCTATCAGCAGACTGCATCAGGGAAAATGTGTCAAAGCAGGTCATCAAAATCAGCTGAAAAATATCACCCGACTGATATATCGGTCAGGCTTTAATCCATATATTCTAAAAAAATTCACCTGCTTTAGACAGCTGGAACTGTCACACAATTAACAAGTAAATATTTTTGGTTATTTTATGCTGCTTTAATTTGGCTAATTTCACCATCTAATTCGGTAAATAACAACCTTGTGATCTAGTTAGCTGAACTTATGGCTGACATATGTAATATACTGCTTTATTCTGTGCTTAAACACTCAAAAAAACACTACATTTACACAGAATCACAAGTAAAACCATACAAAGCTTATATTTTCCTCTGTTGAGTCTGAAAATATAGCCAAACACACTCATTCAGTGGAAGCTAGCATAAACACTAATAGTATTATCTTTCTGGCTAGCACAGCAAATGCTTTTGGTACAATGTAGTATTTCAAAAAAAAGCAATCAACACATCAACATCCCCTCCTAGTTTACATTCTGGTATGCTTACTGGTCATGTTATAGTGATTGGTGACTTTATCCTCACCTGGAAGGGTAAAAAAAAAATTACCAAAATTGTCACTGGCTTTAGCCGCAAGTGTTACCTAAGACAAAGGAAGATGCCCCCAAGTTAATGAAACTCAACAGAACTGCAGGCCCTCAAAATCACCCAACCGATATATCAGTCATATATTCTAATAATAACATCCATCCCTAATCATTAGCTCACAGTGTAACGTCTGAGAATAAGAACTAAAACACAAAAATAAACACCAAAATACAGTGACAGTCGACACCAACAGACTCTTTCCCTTATTAGCATGGAAAGAGTCTTATTAGTGTTTTGTTATTCGGAGCAGCACTGCATCTCTAACTGGTAAACATCATTTCAAATGCAACCCTCCAGCCACTTTGACCTTCAGTATTAGTTAATGGTCCTTCCACAAATATCCTCATATAACCAGCCTTGCAGAGTGACATTAGTGCATCCAACGGCTGGTCGATGCTGGAGCTGTCTCAGGGCCACCACGAGCGCACCAGTCAGCAATCATCACCCTCATAATCCAACCTCATCTCTGTAACAAACCACCCAGCATTAGAACTAAACTGGACTGCACCGTCACTGCCAGCACCCACAGCCACTACTAAGCCTGGGGAGAGGTGCTCTCAGGTAAAATCAATAAGACTGTAATTCCACTAAAAATATCATGACATGACTAACAGTACGGGGCTTTATTAGTTACTGAGGTATGAAATTAAAGGGACAGTTTGTCATTTTTTCCCAAATGTAGTCAATCACTGGGGTCCAAAGTTAGCACTATAGCTACAAGGCTAACGTAGCTAACAAACAATAGAAGCTTATATCCCACCAATTAGTATCGCACAAACTGCAAGCCTTAATGATCACAAAGAAAATAAGCTTTTGGGGTTTAACTGTGTTGTGAAAGGCAAATACGAAAAGAAAGTGATTTGCAAATCCACTTTGACCTTTATGTTAAACGAAAACAGTACAAAAACAAGACCTTTATAGTTTTACACTCTAGTTCTGGAACTGATGCCTGCAGCTCATCCCAAAAAAGTTTGGGACAGGTGCAAATTAAGACAAGGAACAATAAGTACCTGAAAACAAACAACAAATAAAAATAATTTTGAAAAAGGTTCAAAAAACACCTTAAACAGGTGATGCAATCATGCTTGGGTATATAAAGAGCATCCAGAAGCAAGGAGCGGTCGAGGCTCGCCACTCGACACTGAGTAACCCAACAACCTCTACGATGCATAGCATCATCAAAAGATTCAGAGAATCCAGAGAAATCTCTGTGCGTAAGTGGATAGGCTGAAAACCACGAGTGAATACCAGTGACAAACTGTTGTTGATAAAAACGTTCATCGCTGTGCCCACAAATGCAAGTTAAGACTCCACACAGTGGAAACCATGTGTAGGCACTGTCTAGAAACGCTCTCGACCTCTCCGGCCTGACACTCATCTGAAATTGACTGATTCTCAGTGGAAACAGGTATTGTGGTCTGATGAGTCAACCTTTCGGATGACATTGTGTTCTCTGAGTCAAAGACGTCGTGTTCTCCAGATCAAAGAATAAGAGGACCGTCCAGATTGTTACCAGCTTAAAGTTCAAAACAGAATTGACCAATCACTGCATTCATTTTTAGCATTTTTTACCCTAAGAAGCCTAGTTACTGTTTTTGTTTTGTTATTCTGTTTGAACGCAGTTACACAATTACGCAATTATTTCTATTCTGGACTTGTAATCTGCACTTTTGCTACTGCTCGTTTTGACACCAAGAACATGGCAAAAATATAAATATGCAAAACGTGCAAAACAATAACAGTCAAATTCAAATTCAGAATAAAATACAGATAGAAAATCAATTTTTTCTTTTGATTTTTACCCAATTTTCTCCCCAATTTTCACCCAGGGAGCAGTTGGGGGTTAGGTGCCTTGCTCAAGGGCACTTCAGTCATATGCTGTCGACTCAGGGGATCGAACCAGCGACCTTCCATTCACAGGGCTGGTTCCTTAACCTCCAGCCCACAACTGCCCTATTTTATGTAACAGTTCTGGCAAAAAGCCTGAAAGTTGTATGAAATGTGCTTTATTCCTTCCGCCACAAAAAGTAGTACCCTTATGCATTACAGATTTTTTTATCATTGCACATGCTGTTCAGCTTTTTTTTTTAAATTGGCATGACCATGTGAGTTCCTGACCACACCTGAGCTAAGCAAGCAGGAAGGAAAGCACAAGTACTCACTCTAAGAGCTCATAGTTGGATTTCTTGTCCAAAGCATTTCCTCTCATTTCTCTGAAGAACCTCCTGAAAAAGGACACAGAGACAAACGAGTACGGATTTAATTAAAATAAAATTTTAATGACTGTGTTCAGTAATTATTTAACATATAACCAGACATATGAGTTGAAAAGAAATGTGAGACAAAACTCACCTTATCTCAAGGCATCCCAGCTTCAGCGCGATGTCCTGCTCGACCTGATCAGCTATTTCTAACATGTAGTCATTCTTCACCTGAAAAAGGAAAAGCATGCTCACTTTTCTGTATCACTTTCATCATTTGTGCTTTTTGGAGCATAATCACTATAGCAGGACTCACTATCAGCAGCTAAAAATATCTCCAATTAAACTGATCATACTTAGAGGTGGGCAATATGATGGATGATATGTTATCTAAATCAGGATAAATTACATCACTACATGCTTTTCTGAGTATGTCATGGGTATCATCTGTACTTCTAGAACAGCAGACAACTGTACGCATCATAAAAAAAGAGTAATTATAGAAGCTTTTTAACAATAAAAATCAGTGTGAAGTAACTGCATAAACTGCGCAATAACAAGTGATTGTTGATGATTTGATGTCACCTTATTATTAGACCATAATCTAACCTGTTTTTCACCGATTTTTTAAAATGTGTAAAACATTACGCTGTGGGTGCATGTCATCTGCTCCAACTTGTTCAAAAACCTAAAAATAAAGTAAAATGTATTGTGATTTATATCACTGTTGTCAGAAGAAAACCTCCCATCTCCAAAATGGTAACTTTACAGGAGAAGCAAAAACCTACTTTACTTTTGATGTAACTCAATAGAACCAGAGTTTTTGCCAAGTCATTTTGATCCATTTCTTTTGGTCCATTCTTAACGAAATTTACACACAATGTAAAGAGCAACAGACATTTTCAAATTACTCCAAAAACTGAAAAACAACAAAAATGGAGATACAAAGTTGTCTTCCGACAGCTGCGATGTGTTTTATTTTGACCATATTGCCCACCTTACATTTGTTTTTTAGCTTTTTGTTACTTAAAATCATGTTTGTAGGATGCGTAGCTCTCAAAAAGCCATTACTGAGAAAAGGAAATAGACAAAAAAGAAGAAAACTTGCAATAAAACTGGACATCTGAGACCTTTAATAGACTAATGAGTCCAAATTTGTAATAGGGATGACTTGAATCATGTCACTGAGTCAGTACTTCTTGAAATATAACACAAACCTTTTTTACTTTCCTTATGAGGTGCAATGAAAGCACAGATTAGACAACACTCTCATAAAGAATACAGATGGTTTAGGATTAATAGCGCAGAGATGGCCCTGCTGTCATTCATGGCCTAGTGAACTGAGCCTGTTAGAAAAGAGCAGATGTTTGCTACTGTTACACAGTGACAAAGGACCATGCTTTGTGGAGCGCTGCCTGTTGAATGAGAGGGACAGTAAATCGTCATCCATAAAAAACTCAGTCCACCATTACTCCATCAGAGGCTTTGTTTACTGAAGCTAGGAACACCTGCCGTGACACGAAGACCATTCTTCTCCACACTGTGGCCAGGAACACGTGAAAAAAACACTATTGAGTTAATGATGAATGTGCTTGGCAATGGCAGGCATGATGTCGGCACAAAGTGTCCTGAGATCAGTTTTGTGACTCACTGTGTAAAGTGAAGCGGAAAAAAAACAAAAAAACAAAAACATTTATTGACCCATTTCTCTTCACTGACCCAACTGCATCATCACTGGTCTCTTCAGTAAGTTGAAACACATAGTTTACCCTAAGAAGCCTAGTTACTGTTTTTGTTTTGTTATTCTGTTTGAACGCAGTTACACAATTACTCAATTATTTCTATTCTGGACTTGTAATCTGCACGTTTGCCACTGCTCGTTTTGACACCAAGAACATGGCAAAAATATAAATATGCATTTGTTTTTTGCAAAAACAAACACGTGCAAAACAATAACAGTCAAATTCAAATTCAGAATAAAATACAGATAGAAAATCAATTTTTTCTTTTGATTTTTACCCAATTTTCTCCCCAATTTTCACCCAGGGAGCAGTTGGCAGTTAGGTGCCTTGCTCAATTGCACTTCAGTCACATACTGTCAACTCAGGGCTGGTTCCTTAAGCTCCAGCCCACGATTGTCCTATTTTAACAGTTCTGGCAAAAAGCCTGAAAGTTGTATGAAGTGTGCTTTATTCCTTCCGCCACAAAAAGTAGTACCCTTATGCATTACAGATAGAGCCACACAACTGTTACAATGGCTACGTTCACACAGCAGATAAAAGTGGCCCAAATCTGATTTTCTCACCAAATCCGATTTTGTTGTTTGGCTGTTCAGATTATCTTTTAAATGTGATCCGTATGCGACATCAGTCTGAACAGATCAGCTCCCAAACTGACCCAGAAAAACATCCAGAGGTAAACAATCATGACGGCCAACGAACGCCAGTCACTCCTGGAGCCAGCTGGGCTCATCACTCAGAATGTGTTCATGCTCGCCGTAAAAAAGGGACGTTATTCGGACACGGTCACTTCTTTGGTTCATGTCCTCGGATTCTTTAAACTTTGCTTTCAGACTTTTCTTTGACGCTGCAGCCTCGCTCTCCTACGGCCGCTTCCCGCCATTTCTTTCGAAATCTCTTCGATCACGGAGCGGTTTGGATAAATGTCTTCTAATTTTTTGTACAGAAACATCAGCCCAAGTGTTTATGAGGTCTCAGCTGTGCGAATGTCGAGTTGGACTGACGTAAAAGTCGCATGAATTCCAAACTGGCTGTTCAGACTGAGTCGCATTGCTGCATATTGGATACATATCAGATTTCAGTACCACACATGAAAGTGTCCCTAATCAGAAAATAAAAATGTCTGATTCAGTGTGTTTTTTGCTGTTCACACTGACACACAGATAACACATCTGTGTGGGGGCAGTAGTGGGCTGGAGGTTAGGGAACCAGCCCTGTGACCGGAGGGTCGCTAGTTCGATCCCCTCAGCTGACAGTATGTGACTGAAGTGCCCTTGAGCAAGGCACCTAACCCCCAATTGCTCCCCGGACGCCGTGGATAGGGCTGCCCACCGCTCTGGGCAAGTGTGCTCACTGTTCACTGGTGTGCATGTATGTGGGTGTTTCACTGCACGGAAGGGTTATATGCAGAGGTCTAATCCCTCTGTGTGCAAACACAGTAGGCTAATGGTTCTGAATTCAATTCATTCATTCATGTGTGTCAGTGCTGTGTGAACAAAGCCAGTCAGAACAGCTCTGTTAACCTGAATGTGGTTTTATACTAAAGTAGGACACCATCTTGTATGCTGAACTGTTTGTTTCGGACTAATTCCAGTTTTTTTTCACAGATGCTGACAGAAAAGCTCACCTGGGGGCAACAACAGATTCAGTATATAATGTAGTCCTGCTCTTCTTCAGAATCTGACCAAACGGGCTGTAGGTCCAATGTTACATAAGTTATCTAATGTTTTTTAGATGTTTTTGTAATGCCGTTACTTAGCAACCGATTCAGGATGATACAGTTATTGTAAAAAAAAAAAAACATGCTGTTATTTGTAGGACAATTCTTTCAAACAAATTAGACTGCACCTTCTCAACTAACTGTTGTATACAATGTAATATAAAACAGATTTTTGTCATTATTGGTGATAACTTTGACTTTAAAGCGTTAAACTTGTGCTATATTTCAGCTTTGGTGGCACAGACGTTTCCTTCTGCTGCAATGAAGACTTAGATGCAATCTGGACAGAAATGCCCAGAGCTGTTAACATGCTGGACTGGCTCAGTAGACCAATTTAACACATGCCTAGTGGCCATAGCACCTCCATCTGTCTAAGAGCCAGCCTGCTTATGCACTTTTGCCCTTCTGCAGACAAGCAGCTCTCCACCTCACCAACATACCTGCATATGCGCTCTGCAGCATCAACCTCGCCATATGCCACCATCTGGGATCCTACACCAGCATCAGTTGCTCTCTATGTAATCTCATGTCCCTTAGCATAGGTTTACTCACACAGTCCTTCAGCATCATCATCCACACTGGCTAAAGTGACAGCACTGAACTCTCCCAGGAACCAGCCAGCTTAGGAGGTTACAGGTTAAACACCCACTGTGAGCTTTATAGCAGTGCTGCGTTACTTTCCGATTTCTCTGTGGGAGAAACGCCGCTCCCACTCTCTGTTCTCTCTCTCTCTCTCTCTCTCTCTCTCTCTGTGCTGACCCACCTGCTGGTAGAAGTAATTCAGCGTCGGCTTGTCTTCAGTAAACTGGTTCAGGAAGCCCTTTGGCAGGTAGCGGATCCGCAGTTCATACCTGAGGGAGAGGGGGGAAAAAAGGAGGGAGGGATGGTGAAAAACAGTGCAATCTCTCAGCATGTGTCAGAGCGCAGGCCAAAGTAGCTTACACTTCAAACTAAGCCTAGGCAAGCTGTTTGGACCTTTCCTTCCAGCTAATACTGCCTGATATGAGCCTAAAGCTTACAGTTAAAAGGGAAATTCCAGTAATGTTTCTAAATGTCTGCATAATTAAATGGATAAGATGCAAACAATGTCATTCAGAGAAGTTCACAGTTGTGGTGGTGATAGGAACCAGACATCTGAAGAGTTTAATGCCTCTAAAAGCTTCCTCACAGAAAGTCAATAGATAAAATGGTCATGAATGCGCTGCATGATGTCTGTTAGTTTTGCCCTGTTAGGGTTTTGGTCTAAAATATATTTTTTAAAATACATATAAGGTGGAGAGGTACACGAAGGGCGTTGTAAGGAAAAATAGTCCCCAAAGAAAACACTTTCTTCAGATTTTCCATTTTTTTATCATTATCAACATTACATATCGCTGCTGTTGGAAGAAAACCTCGTATCTCCATTTTTGAGAATTTTCAGTTTTTGACATGGTTTGAAAATGCCTGCTGGCCTTTGCATTGTGTGTAAATTTCATGATGAATGGACCAAAAGAAACGGCCCAAAATGACTTGGAAAACGTTCTGGTTCCATTGACTTACATTAAAAGTAAAATACGTTTTTTCCTTCTCCTGTGAAGTTTTGGAGATACAAGGTTTTGTTCCGACAACAGCGATATAAAAGGTCAGATGATGTGTGTAGGTTCACTGGTGGTTTTGGATAGTAAACAAAATGGCTATATTTACATTGTAGTCACTGCGACGCCTTGTTCCTATCACCACCACTACAAAGAGAAAATCATTACGTTATTCTATGATGCACCATTTCACTTCAAAACAGACTAAATGATTATGAATGATTTATATTCATATATTTTGAAAGTCAGTGGAATTTCCCTTCAAATACTACTGTTTTCACTGTTTTCAGTAAAGCTATGGTATAGCTACACTACCTTTGCAGTAATGGTAATACTTAAAGAAAGACAACTATTATGTAATAATCAGTGCTAAAAACAGACACTGCCAGCATTCATTGGGTGGAGGAAGCTGTGGCCCTTTGGTCATTTCTTGTCCCCCTTAGCCTCGTTAAACCTGCCTCGGAGTCTGACAGTGCAGCATAAGGAAACAAGGCCAACAGCTGTATTCTATTTTGTGCCGCGCAGAGACATTACAAACCAAACATGAGGATGGAGGGAAGAGGGGACTTGGCACGCGTCCTAATGCAAACCATCCCTTCGCTCTGAACACAGCTACACGCCGGCACATGGTATCAATTCTCTCAGCTTCCCTTTCAAACAGGCGTGATCAAAGGCGAGGGAGACGAAGACAGAGAGAGACACTCACACAAACAGCAACAACAAGACAAGCCGAGAGAGAGCAAATGAGATTCAGCGAGGGGAGGAATGGAGAGAGAGTGTGAGGGTGTGATGTACACTGCCTGTTAAAAGCCTGGGGACACGTTGTATTTGCTGAAATTGTTAATTTTCTCACCATTATTTAATAGTTAGGTAAGAAAATATATTTGACAAATTAAAAAAAAATCTTAAAACTGCTAGAATAGCTAATATCTTGGGTATATTTGGCAACGCTCAGCTTCATGTTGAAGAATGGCTGAGAAATGGACATACACCGATCAGGCATAACATTATGACCACCTCCTTGTTTCTCTGCTCATTGTCCATTTTATCAGCTCCACTTACTATATAGGTGCACTTTGTAGTTCTACAATTACAGACTGTAGTCCATCTGTTTCTCTGCATACTTTGTTATCCCCCTTTTACCCTGTTCTTCAGTGGTCAGGACCCCCATGGACCCTCACAGAGCAGGTACTATTTGGGTGGTGGATCATTCTCAGCACTGCAGTAACACTGATGTGGTGGTGGTGTGTTAGTGTGTGTTGCGCTGGTCTGAGTGGATCAGACACAGCAGTGCTGCTGGAGTTTTTAAACACCTCAGTGTCACTGCTGGACTGGGAATAGTCCACCAACCAAAAATATCCAGCCAACAGCATCCTGTGGGCAGCATCCTGTGACAACTGATCTACGTTACATCTACAAGGTGGACCCACAAGGCAGGATTGTCTAATAGAGTGGACAGTGAGTGGACACAGTGTTTATAAACTCCAGCAGCACTGCTGTGTCTGATCCACTCAGACCAGTGCAACACACACTAACACACCACCACCATGTCAGTGTTACTGCAGTGCTGAGAATGAGCCACCACCCAAATAGTACCTGCTCTGTGAGGGTCCATGGGGGTCCTGACCACTGAAGAACAGGGTAAAAGGGGGCTAACAAAGTATGCAAAGAAACAGATGGACTACAGTCTGTAACTGTAGAACTACAAAGTGCCCCTATATAGTAAGTGGAGCTGATAAAATGGACAATGAGTGTAGAAACAAGGAGATGCTCACTATGTTATACAAATTGCATGGACTCGGATGCGAACAGTCCAAACATTCTTTCAAAAAATGAAAAAAACTTATTTCAAAAAAGTGAGGAAAAATCATTTTTCATGATATGGGTCTTTTAACACAGGGCTCATGTTTCTCCATCCTAGCCCTGGAGTAGCACCTGCCCTGAATGTTTTATGTGGGACAGGAAAACACCAACTCAACTCAGAACCAGAACTAAGAAAATTCTTAATAGCTAAGAAAAATGTTAATATGTTAATACGAGTTATTGCAATCTGACAAAGAGGACATGCTCAAAGCTCAAAACTGACCCCAAACTTTTGATGGAAGGATTACACTAGCCCAATTGGCCAAATATTTAAGACTATTAACAACCGTGCAAGACCTGGTAGACACCAAACTTGTCCCCTTCAGATAAACAGCACTTAAAGCTTTCATCTTTGAGAGAGAGGAGAAAATCAAGCTGCTTCAGATCTGAAACATCCACATCCATCCTTCCACTGTGAGAAGACGACTCAGCACTATGGGTCTGAAAGGATGTGCAGCTGTCAAGAAGCTCTAACTGAGAAAAGGAGACGGACACATCAAACAAAGAGGCAGAACAATGGACTGACCACCCAAAGTCCAGACCTCAACATCACTGAATGTGTTTGGGATTACCCGGATAGTGAGAAGCAGAAATTGCAACGAACTTCTGAGACTGAACTTTAGAGGTGGGGAAAAATAGCCCCACAGCTTTGACAGCAAGTCTTCTGAAAAGAACGGAAGCTGTAGTAATAGTAAAGTCTGGACACACATAATACTAAAAAAAGATATATTTTATTTAGTTGTTTATGTTTCTGGACAATTTCCAATATGTTTCCTTTTTTTTTCTGACACTTAAACTGTATTGCTTTGACTGGAAATGAGTAAAAAGAAGGGTGGGTCTCTGACTTTTGCACAGTACTGTATGTAAATACACTAAGACAGAAAGTAGGAGTTTAGCAGATTATTTTCCAGCCATTACACTGGATAAACAATCTACTGCACAGAGAAAGGAAGACAGGATGTTACTTACATAATCGGTGTCAGGCCAACGTGAGCGCGTCTGCAAGAGTGAATCAGTGAATGTGTGGCTAATGGAAGCTTATATATGGGTGACCATGTGCATGTTTGTGTGTGTTGTCTCATCTCTGTGGCCGTGTAATTCATTAGAGCTGATCCCTCTTTGGCAGAGAGCTCACTGATAAGTGCACTCCCGTGCTCTCTCTCCTCAGTATGTGCCAATCCACTGCTGGCCATCACTCCACGCCACTAACAGCTTGCTAAACGCTCCCATCACTCCCTCACTCTCATTACAGCCATGCTTTAGGACGTGATGAATGACTACCACGCTACTCGGGTGGCAAGTACCACAAGAATGAACAACTGTAGCTGGAAGAGAGACAAATTGCATGAACCACTGAGTGAAAAACGATCAGTAGTGGTCATTTCGTCAGCCTAGTGCTCCAAAATGTGGCATCTGTCATAAGAGCACAATGCAGTTTGACGCATACAGATTATCAAACACATCAGTACTAATACTGATTATCTACATGTTATAATACTCCGTCAGTGGGTATGCATTATGCAGACTAAATGTATTTTTTCATAATATTAACAACATTTTTATTTAAAAGCTTGGCTTAAAGGAATTTACATAATTGTCCACCTATCCCAGATGCAGCTTCCCAGCGAAGACATGTCTGTTGTCCAAATTTTGCTTCTTCAGTTTAGAACTGGAGCTATGAGTCTAATGCTGCTAATAAACAATAGCGGTCAATCATCATCTGTCTTTCATGTAAATGCATCCCCAAGATTTTCCTCAAACTCCACTAATATTAAGAGCAAAAACTGCCTTATTTAAGAGCACCTAACTGTTCAGAGCACAGACCTTGTGGTTTAGGACACAGTATGACTTTCTGTGAGCTATAAAAATGAAAAGAACTCTGTGTAGCTGAAAGCTGCGGGCAGCCACTACAGACAACAGGGGCCGGATTCACAAAAGTGTCTTAAAAAAAAAAAATCTTCTTAAATGTGTGTTTTTCTTCACTTCATTCTTGAGAAAAAACGTTATAAAAACGGCTATTCTTCAAAAACCTTCTTAAGAATTCTCTTATTTGCTTTCTTAGCTATTTTCTTAGTAATAATTCTAAGAACAAGTGGTTTTCTTGAAAACACTGTTCCTAAATGTGATCTTAACCTTACGATAGACTCACACTTGTCTTAGTGAGAGTTGGTGAGGTGAGCATCTAAACTCTCCACAATTGTCGTATTTTCCACGGAGGATTTTCTTCCTGTTGGCTGTTTCTTCCACCATCCCCTCCAGTTTTTGTTAGCTAAATTTTTTAAATGCTTGGTTTGATGTATTTCCTCCATTTTGCTCCTCTGAGTGGATAAAATAACGTAAAAAACGTTTAATACAAATAAAAAATGTATCTCGCTGCGTTTATGGTAAGTTATAAAACGCACCACCGTCTACAT